CTGAGCTTTCAAGTGGGTGGATTGGAAGGAGGTGGTATCGGAATGCTGAGGAGTCGATAACGGAGGAGTTTCAAGGGGAGACGGGAGATCGCCCGAGATAGGAGTTGGCAAGGTAGAATTATATGGCTCGGTCAACGGCGTACAATTGCGAGTTCCTGTGTGAGGCTGTTCCGACGGCGCAGAAACGGAGGAACCCAGTTCCGGGTTTGTCCCTGGGGATAGGGGCTCCTGTACCTGAAGGATGCGAGAAGGAGTGATTTCATCCAAATGTTTCGAAGATGCGATGCTATAAGCTGGGGATTTGTTGGAGTCGAGAGGGCTCGAGGGGGGTTTTCGGTTGAAGTGGGCACTCGGATCTGCATCCGCTTTTGGAGATAATCGACCAAGCAACTTCGCCTTCAGACGTGATATCCGTTCCGTCATTGTCGAGTCTTCATGCCATTCTAAGACGATAGGGGGAGAAACCAGATTCTAGGTAACGGTTGTTCTCTGTCGATCGAGATAAAGACAATCTCGTACTTTTTCCGGTTCAGACACGTCAGTATAGACCAAGTCAGAGATGTCAAAGGTTAAAGAAGTTGAGAGGGGAAAGTAGCGACTTGGGCAGAGTCACGTTAGTTGCTGATCTCCCGGGCCAAAAAAAGCTATGGCCTTTTTAATATGCAAGGATTCGGGGGGTCCTTGGGCTTTTGGGGGGGGGAATTTTAGAGGATATATGAAAAAGTGTCTTGGATTAAAATTGGGCATCTCAATTGTTGGGTTTATTTTTCTGTTAGCGACGAGCATAGATATAGAGCTGAAATGTAGTATACCTAAGACCCTTGAGCTTGTATAGCTCGTCAACTACTCCTATACCTATAGCACTCTTATTGCAGAACCCCTTAGGTGGCCTGATCTTATCCAACAATCCAGATAACATAATACACGACACGATTCACGATTCACGATCTACAGATACCCCACAAAATAGCCTACGTGGCACGCCCAAAAGTACCAGAGCTAGCTAGACGCAGGGCCAATGGTTCTCAGCGTCACTGGAATATTCCGAAGAGCGGCATCTGGTGTTGCACTTAGTAGCAGGATATACCATCCATCTTGTCCTGTCGGTGGGGCGTAGAAGTTGATGTTGTCCTAGCTGCACATAACATATTTTCCATATGAAGTCCACACATTGGTTTGTGGTGTCGATGCGCTAGTCGTGTTTGTAGCAACTGTGTCTTTACTTGTCTGGCCACTTGGAGTAGTAAATATGACCGGACAAGCCATTGCGCCAGTATCCCTCAATCCAAGCAGATTGGTACTGGACGCCACACCAGCTGTGGTGAAAATGGCAGACTTGGTACTAGTTGAGGTAGTATCGGGGTGAGCAACCCAAGTGTTTTGGTTGTCACCAAACGTTACTGTGGCTAAATCGGACACTCATCTCGAGGACTCGGAGTTCAAGGCATACAAGAAAACGCAAACTTGTTGGTTGCATTTGACATGGCCAGATTATCGATCTGGGCTTGACCTGTTCGGCAAATGATTAACGTGATCCATTCATGGGCGAGATATGTTTACCATCTGCATAGAAGATAGGCAGCCCGTCGACGTTGTTACCATATGCATATAAACTCCACGGACCATCGGCCTGTCGCTTATCCATTGGATGCGCTGAGCCAAGTGCAAAAATGGCAAGAGCCACAGCAAAGATAATCGAAATCATGTGTTGAAATTGATGTTACAAAGTTCTGGTTTGATAGGTATGTCATGATCAAGAGTTGGACGCGTTTGAAATCGTCCTCTATATATCTATTATCTGGAGAGGTACCCTATCATTTCCCCAAAACCTCAGTGGGACAAACTCAGGGTTGACTTGTAAGCTGAGCCATATATGGGATCAGTGTGTCAGAACTTCTGTCTTGGATACCCCGTAATCCTTGATCTTGTCCTCCCATGCTGCCTAACCCATATCTTAAGAACGCTCCTTAATTAAAAACCACCTCCAATGCTGACCTGGCTGAACAGACACTGCCCACATGAGGCGCATGGTCGCACCGTACAGTATCACATATTGAGTTACATCTATATCCATGCTCGAGATTGGCTCGCCATCATCCTTGGCCCCCTTGTCTCTGAGTAATACACGAGGGTCAGGCCCCCACTCCGAATTGCGCCTATGTCACTCGACCTGACTTTTTCACTGCCCGGAGAGATTAACTGACACACAAGTTCAGGGACCCTGCGTCAGGAACCTGAAAAGGAAAAGATCCGATCACGATAATGCATGGCCCACGTGGATGTGGTCCTACAGATCGGGGCGGCACAGAACTGCTTAGCTTACATGGCTAGACACCATAAAATCTTTTGACTTCACAATAATGGTTCATGAAACAGATGTCTCGCTATTGATGATATGCCCACTTGAATAATCTATTTGGCACAGATACTAAGTCTTGCCCCATGTTGAAACCGAGCTGGAGGGCCTTGTCTCCCTGATGGCTTGGTAAATCATTTTTTTAGGCTATTATTTTTATTTTTGTCAGTTGGAGATGACGGTATGCCAGCATCTCCTAGTAATGATCGTGGCAATTTACGAGGTGTATTGCCTTAGGGTTAGAGTAGGCGTTCGTAAAAGATCAGCTTGAGTCTCTGAGGGAGGTATATAAATTACGTTAACTATCTTTCTAGGAAGCAGATATCAATAGTCTTATTTTGAGATCCTGAGGTCCAGTCATCATGAGATTTTCATCCATTATATTCTTGGCAAATTTACTTGGTGCTGGCATTGCCTGTGCCGATTGCTCCTACAAACCATCAACCACACTGCGACCAATAGCCACGAGAACCCGACTTCGAAATACCTATAGGCCTACCGGTACTCCATGTGCAGGAAATGCCCCCAATGACAGATCTGTTTGGTGCAATTACAGCATTGACACAGACTACGAGAATGTCGTCCCAGACACAGGTGTTACGCGCGAATACTGGTTTGAGGTCAAAGAAGTCACACTCTCTCCCGATGGATTCATGGCTCCACGTCCGGTCATGACCATCAATGGCACCTTTCCTGGCCCGCCTCTTGTTGCAGACTGGGGCGACTGGGTGGTCGTCCACGTCTCCAACCATCTGTATAAGGCAATGAACGGTTCGAGTATTCACTGGCACGGTATTCGTCAGAACTACACAAATCCGAATGATGGCGTTCCTTCGCTCACCCAGTGTCCTATTGCTCCCGGCTCGACTATGACGTATAAATGGCGAGCTGGCCAGTATGGATCCTCGTGGTATCACTCTCATATCGGTTTGCAAGCCTGGGAAGGTGTATATGGTGCTATCATTATCAATGGACCGGCGACTGCAAATTATGATGTGGACAAGGGCGCATTGTTTCTGAGTGATTGGACGCATGAAACTGTGGATCAACTACACCAAGATGTCCAACTTCGCGGTCCTGTCAGGAAGTTGTCAAATGGACTCCTCAATGGCAAGAATGTCTATGGAAACGGTACAAATACTACCGGGTCTCCGTTCCACATGAAAGTGCAAAAAGGAAAATCTTACCGGTTGCGACTTGTGAACCCTGCCATCGACACCCATTGGAAGTTCACTATTGACAACCACATAATGACTGTTATTGCAATGGATCTCGTTCCTATAAAGCCATTCGTCACAAACGTCGTCAGCATTGGAATGGGTTCGTTTCTTGGCATCCCTATCGCTCTAAACATACGAATCCAGCTAATTTTATACATCCAGGCCAACGCTATGATGTTATCATCACAGCCAACCAGGAATCCGTGGCCGAATCCTTCTGGATGAGAGCTATACCAGCCGATAGATGCTCCCAAAATGAGATGGCCGGCAACATCCGCGGCATCGTCTACTACGGCAACAGGCCCAAGCAACCGCGCACGCAGTCATTCCCCTTCACAAACGTATGCGAAGACGAGCTTTTGACGAATCTCATACCTCACGTCCCCAAAAACGTCGATCTACCAGTTTCGCCAGTTTGGGATAGGAACGTGACGGTCAGCAATACCAGGAACGCACAGAATTTCTTCCGCTGGCAGTTCAATTCCACCTCGATGAACGTGAGCTGGGAGAACCCAACCCTGATGCAAGTCTACCATAGCGATCCGGGATTTTCTACTTCAAGTGGCGTGATTGAGTTGCCCTTCAAGAATAAATGGGTATATCTCTTCATCCAAAACACCCTCGTTACTCATCCCATTCACCTTCACGGCCACGACTTCTCCATCCTAGCGCAAGGACAGCCTGGGCCTGGGAAGCCACAATGGGATGGTTCTATTATTACGCAGAATCCCCCACGTCGAGATACGGCCGTGCTAGCCGGAGGTGGGTGGCTGTTAATAGCTTTCAAGACGAATAACCCCGGAGCGTGGTTGATGCACTGTCACATTGGGTGGCATGTCGATGAGGGTCTTGCATTACAGTTTATTGAGCGACAAGATGAGATCCGGGATCTCATTGATTATACTCCGTTTAATGAGAATTGTGCTGCGTGGGATAAATATGTCAAGACGAAGAATGTTGTGCAGCAAGACTCGGGAGTTTGACAATGCGGAGTTTGTGTGATGAATTATACAGTGGATAGGATAGAGAGAGGGTTGTATGTTAGATAGATTGTTTCAATTGAGCTGGTTGTAACGCCTCATTTTCATCAGATTATTTTGATATTCTTTCAGGGCTGCCGAGATTCTTGTGGCTAGGATTTATACGGAGGAACTGGCAGCAGGAGCAGGAGCAGGAGCAGTAAGAATGCCCTTTTCAACATCCTCTTGTGCGTTCCTCCCGAGTAAAAGTAACTCATCAATGCTTTTCCCTGAATCTTTTGCCTCCTTGCGTAATTTTCGATAGCGGATTCGCCAGGAAATATGGCTGATATATATCCCTGCCTCGAAAACAACCACCAAAATATACATAATCCCCCCAAGTATGTCAAATGACCCTTGTGCCGCTATAATAAAAACGTGTAAGCTATTTTATTATACGTATTGCTAGGATGCAGACCAGGCCTGACCTAATGCGAAGAGAGAAAACAGCCCACCCAACGTGTCGATGCAGAGGAAGACCCAATCTATTAACATCAGCAGGTGTCCATCAAGCGCTGTAAGTCAGAACAAAACCCACTGAAGCCAATCACACGCCCGTCTCTCTTCCACAATTCAAAATACGGCGGCACTAGTCCTGCAATGAGGATAATGGCGGCTATAACCCCAACCACGATGTCGGGCCATGTTACCCCGTTATTATATGGTATCTGTCAAGTTTGATTAGATCTTCCATCAGAAAAAAAGAATAGAAAGAAACATGGATAATACTCTCAATGTTAGGATGAGAAGAGCCTCCAATCCCCCAAATAAAACAATTGTGCCTAAGCATACCAGAACAGCCTTAGTTTTGCTATAGTTGCTATTAAAATTGATGAGCTGAGATTAGCAGTTCGATCACAATAAATCCATACATGAAACCAACTCACTGGTTATAATGAAGAACTTGACTCCAACTAACCAGCGAAAAGAATCCGAAGATCTGAGGCTGAATCTGCAACGGGATATTGACTTGCTATAGCAAGAATCATAAAGATAGCCGTCAGCGATAGATGCAGATACAAAAAAATTTCGAAATTACTAGACAGGAAGTCTGCCAATTAGGGTAATTCAACTTACCTGCAGAATCAGATATGCGCCCATTGGAACCGAGCCTACAGGAATCACAAATGTAAGCCAATTTTGATCTCGAAGGTTTCTTTTTTTTTTCCTCCCTTCCCCTTCCTATATTAGGTGACATGCTTCATATATCAAGAGACTCGAAATATAATCCTCGAGGCCCTAAACCTGATGAAGGGACAGGGAAATAACTTACAGCTTGCCCACAGAAACATCATCGCTGCAGGGAATCCATCTGTGTTCTTACGGCGCCAATTATACCAGATCTGTGGTATGAGTTGGATGCACCAGAGAACCGTCCCGATGGTGCCGAGGACGTTCGATGCCAGTGTGATATTATTCTCTGATGACATTGTTTGTGTATAAGAAGCGACAAATGAGACAAAAATATCACAATATATCTAAAATAAAAATGCCTGGTATAGCGTAGATATCCACAAAAACAACTAGATTCGATGAGGTGGGCTAGTACTTATACTGAGCAGTCAACCTAAAGAACCAATAACTATCCTGGAAAATAGCGGAAATATAATCGGAGATTTAGGACTTTTATTACGAATCGTTGAGAGGACCCAGTCCCTTTTTTATGCACATAGTAGCGCATGAACACAGATCCTCTAGTCGAACCAGTCATGGCTCAGGGCCAAATGCAAGAATATGCAGGCGAGTATCGAGATAGGAGTGGGTTTTGAGGCCTGTTGGTGAAATGGACACACAGAATGCAGGGTGGTAAGCACGAGTGCAGAATAAACCAATACCAGACTAAGGAACGACAAGGGGAAAAGGGAAAGCTTGGGAGAACACAATGCAGCGGTGAAGTCTTGACGTTTGACAGGCTAGTCTAGTCGATGGATCTTCGCGATTAGTGCATATTGGCCTGTGACGGAGGGGGAGATGTTGCCTAGTTACTTGCCTAGTTACTTCGAAGGCCTGGAGTGAGTATGATAAGAAGAAGCAGAAAGGATATGTTGTCCCGAGATATATTTCTACCGATTTTGAGCAAAAAATTCGTTCTTAGATATAACTCTCCCCGCTTTTAGTCAAGGAAGAACTGCGGAGTTGAGTACTAGAACAAGCCTATCAGATTCGCTCATTATGGGAAGAGGGGCAAAATTCAGGCTCATGAGCTAAAACTAGATAGGCTAATCGATGGAGAATGAGGGCTGGATACGAGATTTAGGGCTATATCATATAGCGCTGTTCCTTTCTGGTGCATTGCATTTATTGCACGTAACTAACGTTCAATGGGGGTAAGCAGAGGAAAGTTACTAATATAAGTTATCAGCATTAAATAAATAATTACACGCTGAAAACGTTTGAATATTAATAGAAACAATACCTTATGTTGTATGCGCCATTCTATTCTATTGTTCATCAATTCCCCGACGCACATGTGGCTCCAGCCCCGCCTATCTGACAGCGAACGCACTCTCAGAAATTGAGCAACTGGTCTTCATTTTCTCGAATACCACAGGAGTCTAGTCTTGAAAGTTATGTACTGGCAATCCCATTAGTCGCTGGGAAAATGAATGAGGTATTTTGAAGCCAGCGGGGGAGGCCTAGATTGCTAATCTGACTCTCCGGGCTGCCTGAATTTTAAATACCGCCTTCTTTATTAGGTATAGCAATATATTCTGCCATAGTTCTTGCCGGCGTCGAGGTAAAAGCGGTACCCGATTAGGAAGGTGGTCAGAATAAGAGGTCCATTCAATCTTGTTAACATGTACTGTAATATTGTTACTATACTATTTGATAAATTCAAATTCGTGCCAACAAATTATGTGTCTGAGTCCCATTCACTCCTGGTTGCGACACCACCTCCAGACACATTCCCAGAACATCGCGCGTGTCTCTCGGATCGATAATTCCATCGTCAATCAACATCGAGCTAGTAGAATAGCATTCTGCATCTTTCGCCACTCTGTCTCTGAAACTACTCACCTGTTTCTTGAGCTTTTCTGGCGAAAGAGTCAGGCCTTTGGATTTGGCACTGGCTATCTGCACATTTTCCATAACACCAGACAGCTGATCTGGGCCCATCACACTGCAACGGCCAGTAGGCCATGAAAACAAGAATCGGGGGCTATAGGCACGGCCACACATTGCATAGTTGCCAGCTCCGTATGAAGCGCCCAAAATGATCGAGATATGAGGCACGGTGGAGCAACTGACCGCCGAAACGAGTTGTGCACCCATTTTGATGATTCCAGCGTGCTCGGCCTTAGCCCCGACCATAAAGCCAGTGACATTGTGAAGGAAAATTATGGGAGTATGTCTGGTTTTGTCAGTATTTGGAACTTTGAGTTTCCTGTCTGAGGCTTACTGTTGATTGCACATGCGAATGAACTGAGTGGCTTTCGCCGCCTCATTGGGATTGATGACGGAGAGCTGGTTGGCAACGATACCAACAGGGAAGCCTGAAAAAATCAAATTAGCGAACGGACTATCAACTTCGATAGTTTGATCCTACCCATAATATGAGCCGACGCAGTAATCATATTCGGGCCGTATTTGGGTTTGAAGACTGAGAGACGGGAGTCATCCACGATACGCAACAAAACTTCACGCATATCAAATGGCTTTCGGATATCGGGGTTCACGATTGATAGCACATCCTCAATGGGGTATCTCGGGGGCAGTGACCCAATCAACCCGGGCACTGAGGGGACACGTGCTTGAAGGGAAGCTACCCACTCTCGTGATTTGTGAATAGCATCGAACCTATATGCCCGAGTTAGTATAACAATTTGACAAAGACCAGATCCATCATACTCATCAGACGCAATTTGGTCTGCAAGACCGGTTGTTATTGCGTGAACTTTGGCACCGCCCAGCTCTTCTGCCCCAATGACTTCACCAGTGGCCATCTTCACGAGCGGAGGCCCACCAAGAAAAGCTTGAGCTTGGTTCTCGACAAAAATCGTATAGTCCGACAACGCTGGATGGTACGCTCCTCCGGCCGTTGAGGATCCGAAAACAATAGCACATGAAGGCTTTCCGTGTCTAGTTCGGAGGGCAAGATCGCGGAATAGCTGACCTCCTTTATGGAAAACTTTGAATTGTTGCGGCAAAAACACGCCGGCCTTTTTCAATGAGAAATCTGAGTTTCGAAGGGTGTGATCATGTGTAACTTACCGATTGAACTAAGGAGATCAGTGGAAGGTCGTTCTCAAATGCAATCTCCATCATGCGGTTGACTTTCAGCACTGTTGCTAGTCAGCAATTGTATTGAGAATATATGTTTTGTTGCTTCATACCTGTCATCTCATTCCAAGCTCCTCCACTTTGGGTCGGAATATGAGACATAAGAAGACATATGCGTCCACAAACATTTCCAATCCCGGCAATCAGATTGCCACATGGGGTGGAATCCTCATTGCCAAACCCGGTAAATGCTCCAAGTTCCAAGAATGGCGAGTCTTGGTCTAGCAATAGCGCGACACGGTCCCTTGCTAATGGCACGTTAACCGCGTTTCTTATATAAACGGAGAGTAAACTCACGTAGCAGCTGACCCCGGCTGATGTGTCTTCGTAGAGAAACATCATTTCCTTCAGCGGAAACTTGCTTTAGAGCTTCCTCAAATCTGTCAAGCACAGGTGTCCAACTTTCTTTGTTTGCTTGGAACTGCGAACCCCGAAGATCGATATTGGTGTTTGCCACAGGAAACGACGATTCGGTCGCCATTGTGAAAAAAGGGTTTAGATCTGCACACAATACGTATTTTTCTCAAAGTAAAATATATTTCAAGCAGAATGTGCCGCATCAAGAATGTCTAGGCCGAGTTTCTAAGGTTGACTTGAGTGGAGGCCGTCGGTCCGAACCCCGGAAGTACTACCGGGAGCGGTGCGGACCAGCTGGTGATAGTGTGGGGGAATGAGATGGAAGATCATTGAAATTGTATAATCTGGTAATTACATTTGTCTGATTGGAAGCTGCCTTTGACATGTTATAATCAACCGCTTGTTCCCAACCTTTGACAAGTATACACCATTCCCTTAATCAAAATACCCCAAATGGATTCCAACCTCGCACTTGTCTATGGCCCTACAGAGCCCCAGCTATGTCTCAAGACTATGGGCGCTCTCATCGAGGACCAGGCAGCCCAATTTGGTGACCGTCCTGCCGTTGTCTTTCCATGGCAGTCCGTCCGGCTGTCATATCGCCAACTGGCGGACCGGAGCAAAGCCCTAGCTGGAGAGATGCTTGAAATGGGACTGCACCATGGGGACTGTGTGGGTATTTTGGCAGGCAACTGCTACCAATATGTTGAAGTTTTCCTTGCTGGTGCTCGAATCGGATGTCCTGTTGTTGTGCTGAACAATACATACACGCCTGCAGAGCTTGAAAATGCCGTCCTAAGGAGTTGTAAGTCTGCTATGAGGGTTTTCTTTTTAAAAGGGCAACAGCTAATATAGTAACAGCTTGCAAGGTTGTCTTCCATGCTACCAGCATCGGCTCTCGGGACCTGACAGGTCATATCAGAATACTTCAAGGGACACAATATCCAAATCCAGCACTCCCCGATCTCCGCCGGATTATCTCACTCGGACTTGGAGAATTCCGCACTGGAGCTATTGAGGTTCAGCTCTATGACACGGTTACTTCGAATAGTCCTTCTGTGTCTATAAACAATGCGACACTCGAGCACGCAGAGAGACAGGTTACTCCCCAAGATGTGGTTAACTTGCAATTTACTTCTGGTAAGTGACAACGAAAATCCAGATTTCAAACTGAATATTCACATATTTCAAGGAACCACGGGGTCTCCGAAAGCTGCTATGCTCACACATACGTAAGTCCGTGAAATTGGTAACTACTTGGAGCATGTAAATTAATCTAACCTATAGGAACCTCATCAACAATGCACAATTTGTCGGAAGAGCAATGCAACTGACCCCGGAAGATGTGATTTGTTGCCCGCCACCCATGTTCCATTGCTTTGGTCTGGTGTTAGGATTTCTTTCATCATTTTTCTACGGAAGTTCAATCGTCTTTCCATCTGACTATTTTGATGTCGCAAAGGTAGTCGACGCCATCATCGACGAAGACGCCACGGTTCTTCTCGGCGTTCCAACCATGTACGTGGCCGAGTTAGAAGTGATGGCAAAGACAGGACAGAGACCCCGGCGACTACGGACAGGACTTGCATCTGGCTCGGCAGTCTCACAAAATCTCATGAACCAGCTGCGAGAGATTATGGGCGTCGAGAAAATGCTGATTGCATACGGAATGACAGAGACCAGTCCTGTTAGCTTTATTACTTCCCTGGACGATAGCGATGAGAAAGGTACAACAACTGTCGGTCGAGTCATTCCGCATACGGCTGCAAAGGTCATTGATGAAAAGGGCAATACCTTGGCTCGAGGGCAGCGAGGAGAGCTCTGCACAAGTGGATTTGTGCTACAAAAGGGATACTGGAAGAATGAAGAGAAGACCAAGGAGGTGATGCGAAGAGACGAAAACGGCGTCTTATGGATGCACACTGGAGACGAAGCTATGATTGATTCGGATGGATATGCCCATATCACCGGTCGGATCAAAGATCTTATTATTCGAGGTACGTTCAATTCTCTGATACAAATCCCCAAACCCGCTCCTACTGATGTTTGCTGCCAACAGGTGGAGAGAATATCTTCCCGCGAGAAATTGAAGAACGATTGATGTCCCATGCATCAGTTTCCGAGGCTAGTGTAGTCGGTATCAAGGATGAGAGATACGGTGAGGTCGTTGGCTGTTTCTTGAAGGCATCGGTGCAGTTTCAGAGGCCCAGTATCCAAGAGCTCCAGCAGTTTGTCGGAGAGAGGCTCGGCCGACACAAAGCCCCCAAACATGTGTTTTGGCTAGGAGAGAAAGGTGTTGGTGATGACTTCCCGAAGACTGGCAGTGGTAAGCATCAAAAACACATGATGCGGGACATTGGAAATCGGTTGGTGGGTATGTTCAAGGCGAAACTTTAGTATAGAACAGATAATTACATTTATTTGCATTACTATTTTCTGTTGCGGAGCTCTATATGGATATATATCCCAATGACGAATGCGGACGAGAAAGAGCAATTACCTAGTATCAGGTTGGCACAAACATCAAAACAGCCCTTTTTCTCTCCAATTTGAAACTCCCTTGTCTTTGCAATGTCCCTTGGTCTCCATTTTTGTCCGAACAGGTATTGCCACGGAAATGTGTGATTTACGTGCATCCCGTCCGAGCTGGTCCACTCCTCGGTCCGAGATCCGGATACTAAATTTCCCCGCGTGGAGTGCTTTGGAGCGGACCGAAGCAGAATCGGAAAAGAAGTTTAGTAATATACTCTGATTAACTAACTATTCTATTGTATGATAAGCGATATTGAAGTTCAACATCCTAAAATTGAGATCAAAATTCGACAATGGGTCCGGCTGTTCGAATCGTCGAAGTCGGCCCACGGGACGGCCTTCAGAACATCCGAGACACAATACCTACTTCAATTAAGTTGGAATTGATTCAACGGCTCCAGAAGACAGGACTACAAGCTATTGAGCTGACGTCAGTCGTCTCACCGAAAGCCATTCCTCAACTGGCGGATTGTCGTCAGGTCTTGCGTAACCCGGACATCAAGAGACTCTTGGATAGCTCGCAACTTCGGCTTCCTGTTTTGGTTCCCAATGCTAAGGGACTCGAGATTGCCATACAGCACGGCGTTCGAGAGATTGCTGTGTTCATCAGTTCTACAGAGGGATTTAGTAAAGCCAATATCAACTGCACTGTTGCGCAGGGAATTGAACGGGCTACCCAAGTGGCATCCCTGGCTATACGTTCTCAAATCGCTGCGAGAGGGTAAGAAAATGGGTCCATTCCCTTATATCACAATCCAATGGCAACTAACCTAAACAGCTATGTGTCCTGCATTTTCGCTGATCCGTATGACGGTCCAACTCCATTACCAGCAGTCCTCCGCTGTGTAAAGGCCCTCCTAGATGCCGGCTGCTACGAGGTTAGCCTCGGGGATACCCTAGGCGTTGGCTCTCCTTCAAACGTGCGCGAGCTCATCAACTACCTGACCAGCAACGGTATCCCGCCAGAGAAGCTAGCAGGCCACTTCCACGACACTTATGGACAAGCCGTAGCAAACGCGTGGGAGGCCTTCAATAGCGGAATCCGAGTGTTCGACAGCAGTGTCGCCGGTCTGGGTGGATGTCCATTTGCACCAGGAGCAAAAGGAAATGTCGCCTCCGAGGATCTGGTTTACATGTTCCACAATGCGGGTATTTCAACAGGCATCGATCTCCCAAAGCTAGTCGAAACGGGTGTATGGATATCGAAACAACTTCTGAAGAACAACTCAAGTCGAGCCGGAACGGCTCTGGCAACCAAATTACAGCTGGCAGCCCCAAGCACACAATCCAAACCAAGAGCTCCCGGCCTCAAATGGGACCTTTGCAACGAAACACAGGGTTTACAGATCTACCGATCAGGCGTGAACTTGAAAATCGTCCTCAACAGGCCCAAGAACGGAAACACCCTGACAGCAACCATGATCTCGGATTTGACATCGGTGATCTCAAATGCCAGTTCTGATCCCTTAACCTCCCGAATCGTCATTACAGCCAATGGAAAATTCTTTTGCACGGGAATGGACCTCGGCAAGGGAAGCACAGCCGTTGGAGAAGGCGGATCGAGCAGCGACGCACAATTCACGGGTTTAACGCGACTCTTCGAGGCAATTGATCAATGTCCTAAAGTCACCATTGCGGCGGTGAATGGGCCTGCGTTTGGTGGTGGAGTTGGTTTAGCTTTCTCGTGTGATATACGGACATTTACACAAGGAGCGAATGTCACGCTGAGCGAGGTGAAGCTAGGACTTTGTGCGGCAACGATATCCAAATATGTTATTCGAGAATTGGGGGTTGCATTTGCACGAGAGGTGATGCTTTCTGCGAGAGCGGTTACTCCTGGTGAGTTGAAGGGGTTGGGAATTATTTCTGAGATTGCCTCGGACCAGGAGAATCTGCGGGTTAGAGTTGATGAGCTTTTGATTCGCCTTAAAGCTGCTTCGCCTAATGCTTCGCGGATGTCGAAGGAATTGGTTCGACTTGCCTGGGCGCATGGAGGAGGTGATGCACAAGCTGCTGGGATTAAAGGGCTATTTAAAGAGATGATGCGGTCTGATGCAGATGGAGCATATGGCGTGAAGGAATTCCAGGCGAAGAGGAAGGTAGATTGGGATGCCTATGTTCTAGGGCCGAAGCCCAAGCTGTAAAGGACCAGATTTTTTGGTTTTAGCTAGTATAGACATTTAACCAAGGAATATGGACAATATTTGAACTCTTCTACGACTGCCGAAATCCACCCTCGAACGAATCAGTAGATGGATCGAAGCCAAACCCGTTTTGTGGTAAAGGAAGTCAGTAAACCTATGGAACTCCTGAATTTGGATCGATTACTAATGAAAAGAAAGGGATTTACTAGTTAACTAATTATAGTTCTACTATCATTTTTACTATCATAGAGAAGACTGCTCGGTTACCTTACTTTCTAGGAAAAAGAAATATACGCTAAGTATGATAGTAGCATTAATAACGTTAAAGATAATGTAGCAACGGCTTCCGATCGTAGGGAAACCAAGAGGAGTTACCGAAGCTATCAAAAAACTGAAAGCCACATGGTAGCAGTGGATACCGCGTTCACTGCGGCGCGGATCTGAAGTAGTACCATTTCCGCAGCATAGAGGAATGTTAGGCCGCAATAGCTAACCGTAAAGATGAATTGAAAGCAGTACAGGAAGACCACGGCCATGGCAAGAGCTCCGGTGGTTTGGCTGCAGAGGGGGAGGTCGTGCCTGCGAGGCCTGCCATACAGATTGCCATGGCCCCAGCACTCCACAGCATGAGAGGGCGGCGGCCGAGACGATCAGTAATGAAATAAGCGATGTAACCACCGAGGGGGAGATAGCTGTCTTCAAATCAGAGCAAGAACTCCGTCACAAAATTGAAGTTTTGCAGCCCAATAACCACGTCTCCCTCCCCTGGACCCGGAGGACGATCCTGGATTGCAACGAAGGGGAGGACCATAGGGTCCCCATCCATAAAATTTGGCATTCCCGCAACTGGGTTTGGTGTTATATCCACAGACTGTGCACAGTACGGTTGCTGAAGTCGTGCCGGCTGTCTGATTAGTGGTGGAATATTTGGAGTTTGTGCCTGGAGGGTCCGGATGTAATTTCGAGTTAGCGGGCGGGGAGCACCGCTTGGAGCCAACTGCCACTGCTCGAAGGAGACATAGTTTTTTCTAACAATGATAAGAACGACCATTCTGACATCACCTTCAGAATCTGCGAACCACTTCCGGGCATCTTGTCGAAGTCGACCAAGCGATTCTGATACACCTGTTTCGATTATAAGTGTTGGGTAGCCGACGTTTCCAATCGGATGAGTACAACGAGAGGGAGGTACATATCCATTATCCGCTTCTTTGCCCTTCCTCATCCCTAATCGGTAAGTTGTCGATCCGATCCAAGCCGTTCCTTCGCTAGGGACACCCATAGCCTTGTAAGAATCCCGAATCACTTCAGTGAACTTATCAGTGGCGACCTCATGTTCGCTGCGGGGGACGACCTTGATCAGGCCGGTAGAGCCCTCCCATTGAAATCGAAATGCGATTCCCCCAAGACCGCCGTGGTCGCTTGTAAGTGCTTCGATTACCGGTGTTGATAGACCGAGCACCACTATCCATTGATTTCCGTCTGTATGTTCCTCGAACCATTTGGAGATCTGGAGTGCCTCTAGACGCAAGCGCCTCAGTCGTGAAAATGAGACCACATGACCTTGAGGTAGGTCAGACATGAGCGTGGGGTTCTCTGCCATCGGAAGTAGAATTCTGTCAGCATGTAGATTCAGAGGAGGGTTTCGTCGACGAGATATCACAGATTCTACTGAATCAGTGGGTCAAGGATCTCTGATGATGGGTGACATAATGGAAATAAAGAGGGTGACGTAAGTTAGTTATGGTTAATGTAGGTAGAATATTTTCAGACGCAAGGTTAAATCCAGAAGAACGTTTTCAAGGCGGTATTAGCGATTTTGCTCTGCTTTGAAATATGATGAGAGTAAGTCGTTAGGTAGGAGTAGAGAGGAGAACAAGAAGAATGGAAGGCAGGGACAGCTTCTTATAGTTATCCGTTGTGGTGCTCACGTGCCGATCACATGCCAAATCAGGCTTCACATGGCTATTTAACTAGTTAACTAGATCTTAATCATTGTAGAGAATCTATCCTTCTTCATCTCTCTCTCGCTCCAAGAGGTTATAGGCCCTCTCTCCATCCCATCAGCATTGTCCTCCCTTTGCTAAAATTTCATCAAAAACCATCAATTTTCCATCAAGCTTTGCATCAATTTTCATTTCTATCAGTTCCAGCCACCAAAGGGCGCTGTAACTCGCTTCATAAGCGGTCGTCCATAGCTTAGACAGCTCGCCTTATAAGCGGCTGCCCTGAAACCTTGGGCGGATTTATACTTTCCGCCGGTCCGGGGTACCCGAAAGAGCCGTCCCCACAAACTCTTCCCCGCACTGGGGAGTTCATCCTTCCCACCTTGGAACTTCTCCTGACTCAAACCCGGCCATGGACATGATAGATTCAGGTGGTATTAAGCGGATACGACAGGCTTGCGCTAACTGCAGGTAAAATTCCTCCGTCGGCTCTTTTTTGCCAATGCTGATCACAAACCCTCTAGGCGCAAAAAGACCAAATGCACAGGAGACCGTCCTATCTGCTCCCACTGTCGTCGTAATCATCTAGCCTGTATCTACGAACCATACTCGGCCACTCTGGCGGAAAATCCCCCTGCGCCTAATCCGGTCATATCACTGCCGCCAGTCGAGAATAATAATAATGTCAGTTGGGAATTCCTGGGCACTATTGCATTATATTGATTTAGCAGCAGATTGAACTTTTGCAAAGAATCAGCACAATCGAGTCAAGGCTTGCGGAGCTCAGCGGAAAGACAACTCAGCAGTACGATATTCATGTCGATTTTAGGTACCAATTCTTGATACTGATTCTAGGGGTTTCTAGGAATGTAACGTCTCGTTTTTCACACACACAACGCCACGTACATTTATCACCAGAGGTTAATACCTTGTCACAGCGAGTGCCGTCGCCACCACCTACCTTTCAAGATCATGAGTTCGTGTTCTATTTTATACCCCTGAAGAAATTTGGCCCTGTACTAAGCGTACGGATAGACTCCTCCCTCCACCACACGTCCTACGCTCAGTAATCGACACGTACTTTTTACGCGTCCACAACCAACCCTACTCTTATTTCCATGAACCCTCTTTTCGCCAGAAGTTAGAAAGCAACTCTTTACCAAAATGTTTGATCTTGGCAGTGCTTTCATCCGCTGTACGATTCTCGACCCACGAATTCTACGCGAATCAGACGCGCGACGCATCGCAAAAGTACGCGAGAGAGTCATGGCTGTCAGTTCTAGCAGACCATTTGACGATGGAAGACAGTCTGAATGTTCATGTGGTACAGACGGTAAACTTGCTTGCAGTGGTTGACTATACAGGTAAGATGGATGGACACTCTAATTTACTTCCTGCTAACATTGTGACTATTTCAGCCGGTCGCGCCCGGTCGGGATGGCTCAAAATTGGCCTTGCAGCCCGGATATCTCAAGACTTGAACCTAATGTCGGAGCCTGATCAATGGCTCTCTTATTCAGAACAAGAAGAGCATCGACGGGCCTTTTGGTCAATTTACCTCCTTGATAAATTGATCTCCTGTGGCCGATCTCGACCGCTTATCATTCTAGATGAGGATTGCGAAGTTCAACTTCCATGCGACGAGCACACTTTTCGACATGGAGAAAGGAGACAGACGAGTACAATCGATCAGTTGTTGAACTGGAACTCGAAGTTTGACGAAAGCCCCAGTCCGTTTTCACTCGTTCTTTTGATGGCGTCGATATTTGGCCGATGCACACGATACGTTCACCAGAGTAAGAATATGGACGAGATTCCACCATGGGATCCAAAGTCAGAGTTCTCTGCAATCAATTCCTCTTTGCTACTCTTAGAATCATATTCTAAGAGTTTAAACTGGCAACTTTCGGATGTCCTCTACGGAAGCGTTCAGGTAGATGGAACAGTCAACCGACAGGAGATAGGCCAGCTTATATTTGCCCACACTCTTTTCCACCTGTGTCACTGCCTGCTAAACCATCCGTTCCTCGTGAGACGATGGCTCAAACCTTTCGGGGCCAAGGCCCCAGCTAGTTTTTCCTCCCGCGCCCTTCAAGATGGATGCGACCATGCGAAACAGCTTATGGATCTCATAAAGCAGGCTACGGACCATGGCTGCCTTGTTGAATCCTCATTCTATGCATATTGCATAGCTGTAGCTGGGGGGATTCACTCTCTAGCCGTACACTTCAATCGGAACAAGGGCCGCGAGTCGGACAGTTCGCACTACTTGCAACAGAGCCTAGACTCTTTGGAGAGATTAGCAAAGCCTTGGACCCACGCAGGAAATATAGTAAGTTTGCCTCTGCTCAGTGAAGAAATGTCTACTACTAACACGTTTTTGATTCAGGCTATCTCGCTGCGAGAATTCCATTCCATTTCTCATGCTTTCGCTGTCCTCCTGGACCCACGTCACTTAATGGATGAGTTAGACTTTGGGTCCGAAGAGATCATGTGGTCGATGATTGATTATGCGATAATGGGCGCTGATCCCAGCAAAAAGCAACTCTCACCCAAATCCGCAGCGAACATACCGTCTCCCACATCGTGGGTTCTTGGCGCCGGAATTCTGGGACAACCGGGATATGACAGCCCCAATGGGAATATCTTTGGGGGTCTCACCCCCTCAATGCGACTTGAGGAAGTCGAACAATTTCTGAACTGTAGCCCGGGAATGAGGAACATTATCTAAATTGAAAATGAGTCTTCGGACGGGAATTTGCGACTTTCGCGGGCTCGGTCCGTCCGGTCCGATGACATATTCCACGCATATCGACTAGGATGAATGGATAATAAGTAGATTCTCGGAGCAAAGAAAAGGAAGGTTGAACGAAATATCCTCATGGCTCAACAACATCAAGCGTCACCCTGGGAGGGTGTCATCTCGGGTACGACGGCGGCCATTCTGGCTAGTGTGATTGTATACCCTCTTGATATGTATGATTATGGACCAATAGCATGCTTTCTTGAATAATTCTAAGTCTATTCTAGTGTTAAAACCCAGTTACAAGTTCACGTTCAACGACAGAAACAGCAAGATGCCAACGATCGAGAAGAACAAACCGACACATCAGAAAATCCTACAGCCTACGCTCATCATGACAACTTCATCGATGCAATCAGCTACATACTTCGCGAAGAAGGTATTCTTGGTCTATACAGTGGCTTGGGAAGTTCAATCCTCGGCACGGCGTCAATGAACTTTGCCTATTTCTACTGGTCAACAACCGCGCAAAGCTTACAACAATCAGCATGGCGCAAATATGGAATCTCCGACACAAACAGTATCGCCAAGGAGCTGGGTCTAGGCGCAATTGGTGGTGCAATGGCCCAACTATGCACAAACCCAATCGCAGTGATATCTACACGGCAGCAAACCCGGAAAGCAACTGATCGGCAACGATCAATGTGGGAGACAATGGTGGAAATTATCCAGAGTGAAGATGGCTGGACCGGACTTTGGAGAGGCTTCAAGGTCAACTTGATCCTTGTTATCAATCCCATGATTACATATGGTGTTTACCAATGGTTGAAGGGGGTTCTACTTGGACTGAAGAAGACAAAGGGACTTGGATCTGCTGATGCTTTCTGTACGTCTGTTCGATATATTTCCCGGGCTATCTGCTAACATGACTACTTTATTAGTGCTCGGCGCTTTATCAAAAGTTCTAGCGACCATCACCACGCATCCGCTAATCGTTGCTAAGACAATGCTGCAATGCAAACCGCCAGATTGTCGGAATGGTAAACCGTTCTCGGGATTTACCGAAGTTCTTGTTTATATTGTCAAGAATGAAGGCCTCCTGAGACTATACAAGGGCTTGGCGCCGCAGATTATCAAGGGCTTTTTGGTCCAAGGGTTGATGATGATGTTGAAAGAACGGTATGCCCAGTACTCTTTTCAATTTCAATATCACACATCTAATATCACATTTTTAGGACTGAGATTTTGATCAGAAGAGCAATACTACTTAATAGAAAGCAGCGGCTGGCTTCTCTGAAGTAAGGAATTAGGGGCTTGGGGTCATCAACTAGGCTAGAATATCGTTCATTCGCAGATCCGGAGTCGGTGGGATAATTTATTACATTAAGTCATTTTATTTCCTGCAATTAATTCTTGCTCATAGCATTTTGTCTGCTGTAATGCGTAACTGGCAAATGTGCCTGCGGGATTTGCCATAGATGGTTTTAGACTACTCATTCCAGGCCTAACACTTGTTGAATTCTAAAGAACTCTCACAAATACTTTGTTATACTAGACTTTTGTTACTTCAAACTATTCATTGCCTATGTGGTACTTCCAGCGGTTCGGCTTAAATCGTGCTTTCTCCTCAACTTATCAGTTTAACATAACATTGTTCAAAATTAGAGGTAAAAAAGCTAGAACGAGAGCGACAATATACCAATTTAATAATGTGGTCATCTTCACTAAGGAAATATCAAAGGGCTCGGAAGGATAGGGATCCCCGGTCCTTCACCCCGGTCCGGCATTGTGGAGCGCGGTCCGATCCCACGGTGGTGGTGGTTATTGTTGTATACTTTGTCACTATTCTTACTAGAACGCATTAATAACTATCCTTTCCTAATTTCTTATTCGCTCATTACTCCAAAATACCAATTAGTGATAACATTGCTCGCTCCCGCTCCGAGATATATAACACAACATCCAAGTTACCCCAGCATTAAGTTACAATTTCGTTTGATCTACTCTCTTCGAAGTCCCATTACCTATTTTATAAAGAATATGGCTTCTTTTTCCACTATCCCCTTCGCCGATCCTCTCTGGCTGAACCGCGGTTACAGTCCGTACTACAATGACTCGCATCGCCGACTTCAAAAAGAGGTCCGCGAGTATGTCGACACCTACATTGCGCCATTTTGCGAGGAATGGGAAAAGCAAGGCGTTGTACCACAGGAGGTATGTACAAGACTATATCAAGGACAAGGAGATGAATATCCGCTAAAGATTTCCTGAAATAATAGGTTCATAAGCGTCACGCGGAGCTCGGATACACTGCTGTCAGCTCCTTCCCACTTGCGGCCAACTATCTCAATGGTCAGCGGCTTCCTGGGGACATCAAGCCCGGAGACTGGGATGGCTTCCACGACATTGTCGTCATCGATGAATTAGCGCGCTGTGGATATCTCGGGATTGTCTGGGCATTGGGATGTGGTAACTCCATTGGAGGGCCGCCAGTGATCAACTTTGGCAATGATGATCAAAAGAGGAGATTCCTCCCGGATATGTTGAAAGGAAACATCAGATTCTGTTTGGGTGTGACCGAACCTGACGGTAGGATTTCTGAAATATCGGATTGAGTACATTGACTAATTAAAAGAACAGCTGGATCGGACGTCGCTGGAATCACTACCACGGCGGAGAGAAATGGAGATGTTTATATTGTCAATGGAGCGAAGAAATGGATCACGAACGGCATTTTCGCAGACTATTGTACTGCTGCCGTCAGAACAGGAGGGGAGGGAACCCAGGGCATCTCCGCCCTGATAATCCCGCTGAAGGCCCCGGGAGTAACTTGCAAGAAGATTGAAAACTCCGGCGTCCATGCAAGTGGATCAACATACATTGAGTTCGACCAGGTAGAGGTGCCTGTGGCCAATCTGCTCGGTGTGGAGAACAAGGGTTTCCCTGTCATTATGAACAGTATGTTTCCCCTAGATAGCCACGGCTAGACCAAAGCCAGTTGTCCCTAACTCTTGACAGACTTCAACCATGAGCGACTCTGGCTCGCATGCACATCTCTCCGCATGGCGCGAATTTGCGCTGAGGATGCATACCAACACGCCATCAAACGCGAGACATTCGGGAAGAAGCTAATCGAAAACCAACTGATTCGCGCGAAGTTCAGTGCGATGGCCCGAGGCATTGACTCGGCATATTCCTGGATGGAACAGCTAGTCTATATTTCCGAAACAGCCAAGAAGCAGGGCGTGGATGCTTCCATGGGAGGTCTCTTCGCAAATCTGAAGGTCTTGGCTGGGCAGACTCTGGAAAAGGTTAACAGGGAGGCCCAGCAAGTGATGGGTGGTCTTGGATATTCGAAAAATGGCCGCGGGGCAAGGATCGAGCAGGTCAGCCGTGATGTGCGGGTGATGGTTGTTGGTGGTGGCAGTGAAGAAATACTTTCAGAATTGGCTCTTAACCAGGAAGTTAAGAGTATGAAGAAGTTGAGTAAACTCTAGATATTTTGCTATGTTGTTTTTAGTTCAAATCGATCTCACGTTTGCTCAAAGTGACTGAAGAATCGTTGCAAAAGTACAAGTCAAGAATTTCAACCTTCCATAGCTTTTCGATGACCCTTGGGAATAGGGAATTGTTGCTCGTGGATGTGAATTTACAGTACCGCCTTCCCGATCAGGTATCATTTATAATTCTGCTAGAGTTTAATATAAAGGCGGTATACAAATTGGGAGGCGGCGGTAGGTGCTCAACCATATTGGGAAGGCGATACCGAAGATTCAGGGGGGTGGAAGCAACAATTCCCTACGAATATCTCCGAGGGTTATACTGCTTGCCTTTTGGGATGGAATTGAACTTGTATTGATGAATATCGATCAATGAACATGCTAAACAATCGAACAAAGAATCTTTCCTTCCTCCACCGCATCCCCGGTCTTCCAATCTGTTTGAAACTTCCCTGAAGCCGCGACTGAAATATTGACTTCCATCTTCATACTCTCAATAACCATAACCGAATCGCCAGACTTGACTTCGTCTCCATTCTTTTTCAAGACTGAAAGAACTTTGCACGGCATGGGAGCTGCAACAGTCTTTTGCTCTGAACCCTTATTTGCCTTTGCAGCTGATCGATTACTCTCCGCAAATGAGAGCAGAGTATCGCGTTTGAATTCAACATGAGTTCCGATAGAGGGGAAATGACAATAAATCCGTTGACCACAATCGACCTGTCCCGCGAAGGCATGGGCCCGTGTTGAAGGGATAGCTACATGAGCAGTGAGCTTTGATCCATTCACTGAAATCTCAATGGTGGATGTAAGCCAGGAATCGGGTAGAGCTGGGTTGCCGTGTGCAGGGACCCATGAGATAACTTGGACTTGGTATGCCGGAGAAGACGTTGCTTTGCCGGTGCGTAGTGCTTGACTGATTTCATTATATTGAGCGGAGATTTCTGCTGCTGCTGACACCTCTTCATCGGTGGTGGTCTTTCCATTGGGGATTGGGAAGAGATATACATCCTCAACGCCGGATGAAACCCCGGCTGGGCTTGCTTTCCAAATGCACATCACAGCGTTTTCAGGTGCCGAATCAACCTCCTGTCCAGTCTGGCTAGGCCAATTGACCGTAGTTGTAACATCACAATGGATATTGACTGGGTCGAACCTTTGGTTTCGGAATTGCATGCGGACATTCCGGAGAGGTTTGGGTCGTGACAAGGCTGTGGCGTAATCTGGAAGTCGTCGGACTACCAAGCTTGGAAGAATTGAGGCGATGGTTTTGAACTCAGGCAGTCCCTGGACCGAAGGAGGCTGAAGAAGCTCATTCAGGTGAGATGGAATGAACGCAGTTGTATAGCTAGGATCACGGAACGCCGGGTTCAATAAACATGATCGCATGAAAAGTTGATTTGTCTTGACTCCAACGCAAGCGGTCTGCCCAAGAACCTGAGCCATTTTCTCAATAGCAAGCGCTCTTGTTGGAGCCCAAACGACAAGCTTGGCGATCATTGAGTCGAAATAGATAGATACTGATGATCCCGTTTGGATTGCTGTTTCATAGCGGATATCGCGGCCCGGGGCTAAAGGCCCACTTGCTGGTAGCCAGAGGTGAATTTTGCCATGTTCTGGGAAGAATTCCCTCTCGGGGTTCTCAGCACACAGCCGGCACTCGATTGCATGTCCATTCTGGGTGACATTCCCCAGTGTTGGAAGGCTTCTCAGGCTGCCTCCAGCTGCAACGAACAGTTGTAAAGAAACAAGATCAACCCCTGTGACTTCTTCTGTGATCGGATGCTCAACTTGTAGCCGCGCATTGACTTCTAGGAAGTAGAATTGGTTCGTCTTGATATCGACCACAAACTCCACCGTACCAGCATTTTCATATCCAATAAGCTTGGCTACCCGGACAGCAGTTTCACTCATCTTTTTTCGAGTTGCTTCTGTGAGGAAAGCACACGGGGTTTCTTCAATGACCTTCTGATGCCTTCGTTGCACAGAGCAATCCCTATCCAAAAATGAAACCACATGTCCATGCGAGTCACCCATGATCTGAATCTCAACATGTTTGCTGCTCTCAATGAATTTCTCCAAGATACAATCATCTGAACCAAATGACCGACGAGCCTCGGATTGAGCTCTTTCCAGTTCAACCTTAAGCTGTCCCGCCTCGCGGACAATCCGCATACCCTTTCCACCGCCACCAGCGGAAGCCTTGAGCATGACCGGGAATCCAATCTCCGTAGCCACTCTACCCAAAGCCTCGGCATCTTGGCTGGATCCCGAGAATCCAGGGATTAGGGGGACCTCAGGGGCATGAGCGCGCAGATAATCCTTTGATGACCGTTTGTCGCCGAGAGTAGACATGGCGCTGGGGCTGGGGCCGATGAAGATGAGACCTGCGTCATGGACGCGCTGGGCAAAATCTGCGTTTTCGCTGAGATAGCCATATCCCGGGTGGATAGCTTGAGCACACGTTGAAAGAGCTGTTTGAACTAGTAGTTCGATGTCAAGAAACGGGTTGCGAGCACTGCGGTCAATGCTGCCAATGTTGATGGCTTCATCTGCGTCACGGACATGGAGGGAAGATGCATCTCTGGGTACTCATTTTAGCGATTGTCCTCGATGATATGTTGGTAGCACAATTTCTGAGCACTCACTCGTCGACATAGACCGCCACGGATGTGATATTCAATTTCCGGCATGTCTGGATAATGCGACAGGCGATTTCCCCGCGGTTGGCAATCAAGACTTTTCGTATAATAGGTCTTCCATCTTTGCCCAAGGGTGGCTCTGCGACAAATAATGGCTTGCGAAGAACTGACACATCAGTGCCCTTCGGATCTTGGGTGAAAGTAACAGCCATAGTGTGATCGCGGTATGTCAAGAATGGGATTTCTGAAGGTTCAAAAGAAGCAGATAATCCTATAGGAAATACCAGCTCCATCACTTCACAATATCAAGTGTCCGAGCTCTTGCTCCGGACTCCACAACTTCGGTCCGACATCCGCATATGTGTGGGGGAAGCCGAACCCGGACCGGTCAACCCGCACCACAATCTTTGCTTGGCCACGCGTAAATAAGGCCAATCGTTGCGAAAGATTGAAGATCAAATGTCGGGGCTTTCAGGATGCCTTAGCAAGGAGACCGTGGGAATTAAGACCATGCATGATTCCGATACTCTTAAAGGTCGTCCAGTCTATATTAACGTATTATAGCGGCCAACAGTCGAATGCTTGATTTTAATGGTTTTATGGCCTAATTGGGACTAGCTCTGACCAGTTCTAGACCGCCTTTGACACCGCTCAATACCATCTTTTGTAAGTAGTCCGTACGCATTTAAGAGACGACGCTGTCACCATCCATGGGTTAATTCAAATACCTTCTACCCGCTGCAGGCTGATGGCACTTCGCCAAGCGGAAACCAGAGGATACAGAGAGTTTGGAAGCTCATACGGTCGGTGGGAAGAAATCCAGGCTTGGTTTTCTAAACGTTTTGGGCCTTGGTATCGGTTGCGCTATCAGCTTTTCTCCAGGAAAGTCCGGGACTACGGCGGTGTGCATGGCTTTAAATGTGGGAGATTCATATGATTAGAGGATTTTAACGTCTAGGATCGATGAAAAATATTATTTGAGGAGGTATAAATAGCTTCATCGTTTCAACTTTCAAGTCGTTCTCAAAAACTTTGGTAGGCCAACCTGGAAATAAACAATGATCGCGTCTATTGTCCATTGCCGAAAGTCCTCCGTTCGAGAATTTGCTTGCAGAGTTCTTTTTTAAGAGAAAATCTAAAACAAAAGAACACTACAAAACGCGATAGATCCAAATCAAGACATACAGCGAGCAATAGAAACACGGTCGAACAACTCCTCAAAGGCGAGAGATATTCAGCCAGTCATTAGTTCTACGATTTCAGACCGAGCCGAGCAGACAGTCCGAGAATCAGGACAATATCTCTCATCGGAGAGCTTTGACCCAGCGGGGAAGCATTATTTATTTCGCATCTTGCAAACGAACAAGGATGTCGAGCGTGTAGTCGTCGAGTGGTTCATAGTAAGCTCTATCCCTCCTCCATCATAATCGTCCAATCTCTGATATATGTTAGAATCGAACCAATATTGAGAGAGTGGCAAAAAGGTTTCGACGAACAGTTTCCCCCGATCCGAGATCACACCTCTCACAATGGTTCTTGATATCCACTACGCATATGCCGCGCCCTGGAATCATGAGTCAAGGGATGTCCCCGGACGACCGATCTAACATCATAATCTGGATTGCATTAGGAAAGCTTGGCCTTGATAATGGATATTCTCACATGATGGAGAGTGGGCAAGACATGAGTCTGGATGGGCATGAGAAGGTCTATTTTTCTGGTCAAGCCGGGGGCCTTGCCGTGTTTTTATTATTAAATATGTGACAGAATATGAGCATAATTGAAATATGAGTTATCGGCGGGGAATGGCATCGTTTCAGGATCTAGCTGGGGAGCTCGTAGGTTAGATATTGATCTCCTGCTAGATGACGAATTCATTGGATTGTCTGCCAATACGTCTGTCATAACGGCGCGTCCAATGCGCTTCTACGAAAGTTCAGTCCGCATCACACGTCTTTTTCTTGTAGTCTGTTATTTAAGGAAGACGATCCCCTTGTCCTTTTAATCCTTGAACTCCCACCATTGTTTGTGTGGCTCATTCGACAAACAACACACGTAGTCTTCGACTCTGAGGATTACAGCGATCTTGATACCATCCTCGACTTCTGACTGCCAAGTAAGAGGGAAGACATGCGGTATTCAATGGAAGGATGAAGAATATATTGTTCATTGTGACTGAAAAGATGTGAACTATAAGTTGCTCATAACTGGAGAGTAGGGTACTACTGGATAGTAGAAGTAGCAAAAGATTTCATTATCTGTTCCTTTATTCGATAGCGCCTTCAATCTTAGAGATGGGGAGTTCAAAAAAAGGTAAAACCGCAATAACACTTCATTCCTTATTCTCTTGTTATAGCACATGAACATGGGTGTACTCTTCGTCGTGATTTAGGCCCTACCATTCAATGACCCCTCGGGCCAACTTGTCCTTTTCTTGACTGAAACGTAGAGATTGAGTGGACGGACAAGTTGGAATTCGGGATCATATTGAACCTTATCTTCGTCATCGAGGGCAAACTCATAGCGATATACTAATTCGCTGAAAAGAATTTTCGCCTCGAGAAGAGCAAAGTTGAAACCGATACAGCCACGTCCCCCCATGGCAAAGGGAAGAAAAGCCGCACGGTGACGGCTTTTAACCTTATCAGTATCCCAACGGTCTGGTTGAAATTGGGTTGGATCACTCCAGTGTTCGGGGTTAGAGTGGAGGTCGTAAAGAGCGCAAACAACTACACTATCCGGTTCGAGGCGATAGCCGCCAGGCAAAATCACCTCCGTCTTGGTTGTTCGAGCGGGCTGAAAAGCAGGATTGTGAAGACGTAGAGTCTCTTTGACAAACTTGTCAAGGAACAATAATTTATTCACCAAATCCACGTTCCAATCCGTGCTCGGTGTGACGCCCATGTCCACTAGCTCCTGGAGAAGACGGTCTTGATTGCACTCGTAGGTAGTCAGGCAAAAGATAAGCCACGACAAAAGAGAAGCCGTAGTTGAGAATCCAGCGGACGTTAACATGGAGATGTTAGGGACAATCATCGAACGTGGAAATGTCTCCCCCTTCTCATCGGTGGCGTTGATCAAATACTCTACCAGGCTAGATGCATTTAGAGCTGCATTCGCCATCGGCATTTTTTGCATCGCTCCATCGGATTTCTCGATTTTAGCCACGATTTCTTCGACTAGTGTGTAACAAAGTCGATGCGATTCTCTCAATTTTCGGGGATCACCAAAAGGCAGATTTCGGTACCAAGATCCGCGAGAGGCCACCTTTTTGTTGAGCGCAAACATGTTCAAGATCGACATGACGATTGGATGAAAAGGCGCGTCAATTTCAGCCAGGTGGCCGAATTCCTCCCCGAGAATGACCTTGCCCACAGTCTCAGAAGCAAGCTTGGTCATATACTGATAGACGTTCCACGATTGCATGTTTTCGGAAAATGTGTCAAACACAGCGAATGAACGTCGAACAGTCTCCTGCATCAGCGGCGCATAGTGCCGCACCGCCTTAGGTCCCATGGAAGTTGGGAGGTATTTGTGAGTAAGACGCCACGTCTCTGTTTCGGTATCACTGACAAATGTAGCGATGTTGTCTTTCACGCCCCGAAGGGGATGGTCGTCGGTGATTCTTTTAGTGAAGTGCAGCGATTCGTTGAGCACTATAGCTGCTATTTCAGGATCATCCGTGAGATAATTTGTCTTTCCCATGTTGGTAGTCTTGATCAATCCTCCGTATTTGCGAAAGAGGCGAAAATGATTACCAAGGTGATCTGGAAAGATTTCATAGAAGCTACCCACCAAGGGAAGACCTTTCGGACCAGAAGGCTCTCGTACACCATGGTTGCCGATCCTGATACCGATAGGCTCATTTGAATCTAGCACTTCACCGATCTTGCTGATGGGGTTATTGGACACGTGGAAGGAGACCCCTGAACGAATTAGTGTTTGTTCATCGAGACATTATCCACAATGGATCCTACCAGCTGGTTGAATGATATGGAAGGACCGAGCAACGACGGACTTCAAGCCGTTCAAATCAAGTTCCTGGGCAACTTCAATAGACTGTGCCGTCGACGGGTCATCCCCGATCAGGAAAAAGCTTCTCGATGCCATGGTCTAGCCCAGTCGTTGGAATGATAACTGGTAAGAAAGTTCGTGTAACCAAATTTAGCTGTTTGGGGACAGGATCATGGTCATATTTATGAGCCTAGTCAAACCTGAAATACATTCATCAGTAACCCTGCGGGGTGCGTTTAGCGGTACCATTGTAACGAATTGGATTTTCGGTCGAGCCTTGTAACCCGAGGCTCGGATAATACAGTAATTCCATTCTATACACAATATTGAGGGTCGTTTCGAGTCCAAACATGAGTAATTCGAGTTAGACTTCGGCAAGAAATAAACCCCACTTGCCTCTCAGACCCTCAGGGTGCCCCCGCACGACCGGCCGCCACCTTCACCACCCCCACCCTTCCTATTCCTCTGAGTAAAGCACGTGAAATTATACTTTCGGATAATCACTGCATGTATTTGGTCCCCACGTATCTACAAGACGTGGCTCTTAGTGAAGCATGCTTCATGGCTGGCAGTAAATACCTTGCAGGCGCGTAATGAGGAGTTTTTCGACTGAACGTTGGACGAAACGGCACTGGTAGGTTCACTGAATAAACATGGGTATTTTCCGTGTATGTGGGGAACAACAATAGGTATAAAGAGGTCGTTTCATCGCTATAATTCCTCGTGTACGAATTTAAACCATCTCGCCCAAGTCCCTGAACTTGGACTTTTTTATATCCGATCTCCCCTGGCCTTGTTTGTCCTTCTCCTTCCTAATGGTCCAATCGCGCGTGACACCGACTCCTCAAATGGAGTTGCCCAGCATACCTGCAAACGAAGTCCAGTTGCATCGCAAAACGTCTGATGCGTGGATGATTGTGCACAACAAGGGTTAGTCTCCGGGTAGTTGTTGAATATATTGGTGAATTGTTATCACAGGACTGACGTAAGATTAGTTTACGATGTCACCGACTACATGGAGGATCACCCAGGAGGTGTTGAAATTCTACTGGGGGAAGCCGGAAAAGATGCTACACAAGTGTTCGAAGATGTTGGCCATTCAGACGAAGCTAGAGAGCTCCTACAAAGCTTGTTGATTGGCGAGATCCCGGCATCTGTGGGTTTCTCCATTCATTCATCCACATTATGGCAAAAGGTACTGATTTGTCTGTTCAAGGAACGCGTGGCCGAAGTGGAGATCTATCGACCGACTTTCGAGGTGATCAATCAGACTACAGCCATTAAGACAAAGTCTCAACCAAGCAATGGTTTGGCAAGTTTTTGGTGGGCTGTCGCTAAAGTCTGTCTGATCGGTGCCTCTGGCGAAGTCGCACGCTTGATTTATCATTATCGCAAGCAATGGCCAGGATTCATACAAGCTTCGCTGGGAGGCCTGCGCGTATCCGGAACCCGGATTTGGATTTCAATTGGCATGGTGTCCACGGCTCAGTTTCTTTTGACCTTCGGACTACTTTCCTGGGGTGTCTCGAAGCTTGATTTCAAGCAGGATATGCTTTCATTTCCAGCGTACAGACGTCGACACCCAAACACATTCTTTAAACCTTCCGCCGCCCCCACTTCATTTACATGCCAGCTTCATCCTCAGACTTGGACGAACCTCACACTCCGTGAAAAAGCTAGAATCTCGATGAACGTTTATCGATTTGTATTCAACCTGCCGAATACAAAACAGCCTCTCGGCTTACCATCCGGACAACACGTTGCAGTCCGTGCAAAAATTGGAAATAAAGATGTCGTTCGATCGTATACCCCAATCTCAGACGATCGAGAAATTGGCCACGTTGACCTTTTGATCAAAGTTTATCCTACGGGTACCATGACCAAGTATCTGGAGAGCCTTGAAGAGGGAGACTGTGTTGAATTCCGAGGCCCAAAAGGCGCCATGCGGTATACCAGCGATTATTCAGAAAAAATTGTAATGATCGCTGGTGGGACTGGAATCACCCCTATGTATCAAATCATCCGTGCCATCTGCCTAAATCCGTCCGATGCAACTCAGGTCAATCTTCTTTATGCCAACAACTCCGAAACCGACATGCTTCTTCGAGAGCAAATTGATTCACTTGCGTCTCGGTTTCCTCAGAATTTCAAGGCTCACTACATTCTAGTGAACCCGCCTTCTGGGTGGCAGGGTAGTGTCGGTTTCATCACGGAAGATCTGGTCAAGAAGAGTGTGGTAGCGTCACCTCAAAGCTCTCGCGTAATGCTGTGTGGCCCACCTCCCATGCTCGCTGCGGTGAAGAAAATGCTATCTGCCCTTGACTTCCACGACCCCAAGCCTGTGTCTCAGATGCAAGATGAAGTCTTTGTATTTTAGACTCGAGATCTACTAGCTTCGAGTTTCCCACGAAAAGCATCAGTTCCGTGGATGTCAAGAAAATTTACTACTAGTCGAATTTGATCAAACGTTTCCAGATACCTGACTTGCATACATACTTCGACAATATTGCCGCGATTGGTTGTTTCTTCGTGAAGCGATGATGAAGATAGAAAAGATAAAGCAGAAAATGCGCTCCCCTCCATATTGAGTGAAGTCGAGATATCAGATGCCTACAATTTATCGACAGTTGGCGTTTTGGCGTTACTTAAGGAGTCTGCTCATGAATAATAGTAACTGCATATTTCTTTGCGGTATCTTGGTATTTTGCAGGAAATCGTAATTGTAAAGATTATTGTCGTTTAACTCTCACCAACAAACGTTGTTCACAGCAAGTTGAACAATTGGAAATAAAAAAGCCCCGCATGTTGGGCACCCGCCACATTGGGGTTGTCCGCCACCAATCCCCCGCAATCCCGTTCTATTCAGCTTCGTTTAATAGCAGTATTTATATATAACATCGCATTACACAAGCTCTAATGCTTTTATTTGGATGGTACTCTGCTCAGCGAATTCTCCGGAAGGATGAGAATCAAGCGTTTTCGCTCGACCTGGGGAGTTGATCCCGGCCAGAACCTGGATCACTGGGCCAAATGGTTCCCTGAACTCCAGAAAAAGGGTTACAGTATGTTTAAGGCGTATTTCTCGTTCAACAGAGTGACAGATCGTCACTGACACCATGCCTACGTCCTCAGGCGGGGTTGAAGTAAAAGTTCTTCTGCTACACCCCGAGATGGATTTCAAGCGACTGAGGCAAATCTGTGATCAATTGGGATTTGAAATTGCTGTGATGTATGTGATCTAAGTTCTCAACTGGATACCCTCGCTGATATATATGAATCAGAGCGCAAACGTCTTTACCCTCCATTCTTGGTCCGCGCCCGTCAAGACTGAACGCGGACAACCATCTGCAGAGATATCGAGAGATAATTAGTTTGGTCAACCCTCTGAATCCTGCAGCCATTACATTTCAGTCTGGACAGTAAGAGGCTCTCGGCTCTCAAGGACAATCAAAAGCTTATTTTCTTTCTAGGGATGATTGGGATATCAAGGAATCGATCAAGTATTTTCAGAGGACAATTGATATAGACGAAGAGTTGGGGGTTTCAGGGCGCGTCTACCACGAGACTCATCGAAGTCGGTCACTTTGTGCACCGTGGGTCACTCAGTGTATCTTACAGGCTGTTCCCCGGTATGCTTTCCCTGCACTCAGAATGACGTGAACTGACCTGCTCATCTACGCTACAGACTGAGGCTCACTGCCGACTTCTCCCACTGGGTTGTTGTCAGTGAAAGATTGTTAGATTCCGCCGATGACGACCGAGCCATGGTTGAAGCTATCATCCCACATGTAAGTTCAGGGTCACGCGATTAACGGGAAACTGACACCATCAGGTGTACCATATCCACACAAGAATTGGCACAACACAAGCCTCCCAGTGTCCAGAGCCTATGCATCCAAGTTTTGAGCAAGAGAGACTCTCATTCGAAAGATTATGGAAGAGCATCCTGAGCAATCACTTCAAAAGACATGGCCACGACGCAACCATTACATTTGTACCGGAATACGGGTAAATCGTATTTATGTCTATGAAGAGAAGACACAAGCCAGCTAATTCTAACACAGCCCATTCCATTGGAAGTCCGAAGGCCTACGGAGAGGTCGCGGACGAGGAAGGACAACGTCTGCAGGCTTTATTCGACGAGTTTGCGGCCACTCTGGTCGCTACTTGAACTCTTAGCTTTAAGTCGCCCATTGCATAAGAGATAATGCCATTTCAGCCTGCAAGAGGTAGAATATTTTTCGTGCTAGTCAATATTGTTGGATATGGTGGCCTTAAGGCCGCGCCCTCTCGGTACAGACTAGATTGTCAGAAACCAAGATGGATACTATTTCTGTACAGATGACTATTGTTATTTTAATTGAAGATCTTTCTGCCATACAATTCGACCAATACACTCGCATTACCACGATATTCCGTCTTAGATAGCAGCCCTACGTAGGACTACTTCAAGTCTTCATGTACTATGTATATAATGAAATGGATAGAGATATTCACCCTTTTCGTCCTCACGCCATTCCAAGCGATCGTATCCGCTCTCCGCAGATGGTTGGTCGAGTTTTTACTTTCAAATCCCTTTTGTGATTCATGGCATCTTACTGCTAAAGTGGTGATTCGAACGTTCGCTACTATCAGTCCTCCAGGGTTCGGTGAGGGGCTGGGTTAATTGGGATGTGGCGGTTTGCGCGCCCTTGGTGGGACCCAAAGCTAATCTATTGTGGTGGCATAGCATCTTTGAGCTAACCCTGAATCGATGTTATATGCCTTACAAAAGGTAAGCAAACGAGTTACTTCCATCTAGGGAATTCCCATATTTTGAGCAAGGTAAAATACTACATTCATGTAATCGTACCCGAGGCTTGGCCTATTGAGCTGGACACCAAGTAAAAGCCACTCTTGAACTACTCCAATTTATGACTTGTATTCATTCTACTGTATCACTTTAGGGGTGGGGAATTGATCTGAGTTGTTTACCCCAGATTGTAAAATGCGGGGTTTCCCCACAAGAACTTCTTGGCGAACACACGGACAACTACAAAATTAAGTTCAATCTAGAACCAGGGCTGCTGATTGTATGTGAGAGGTGAATTGCTACCAGGATAATGTAAAAGCATATATAGGCTTGTTGCCCCAGTTTACACCCTACTGTACTTGGATATCTTTGATACGTGTTTTCATCCTAAAGAATCACATCTTGAACATTTCTATGGCCAGTGAAACCAAAATGAGCAGTGACCCAGACGCGAATGACAACGTCGACATGATCGAGCATGTCCGCACGAATGCCAGCATCGCCATTCCTCTTGAGGTTTTTGAGAGGCGATACCTTAGCCTCAATATTCCAAATGCAAACTGGTATAAGCGTCTCGGTAACCCAACACCTCTGTGAGTTTTGGGGTCTCTGATTGTTTTTTCTCGAGCTCCTATCTGATAGTGATATAGCGGACTTGTTGGATTTTTAATGGCAGCGAGCCCTTTCGCATGTGCTCTCTTGGGCTGGGGCGGAGCAGGAGGCGGAGGTGTTGCGACTATGTAAGCGAGACCAAAGAGTGAATTCCTGATGATTATTTCAATCTGACTGGCTCTAACAGAGGATTCTCGTATTTCTTTGGCGGCGTACTTCAACTTATCGCGGCAGTTCTCGAGTTTATCCTGGGAAGCACTTTTCCTTCCGTCGTATTTGGCTCTTTTGGTAAGTTACACGGAGATCATCACAGAGGTACTTGAAAAAAATTGACATGTCATTATCAGGGGCATTCTGGGTGGCTCTCGGCGCCACACAAACCCCTAATTTCAACGCCCAGGCTTTTTTCGAAAATGGTGAAAATGGTGTGGATATGAGCGAATATTACGCTAGCTTTGGTAGGTGTTACCCAGTGGAATGGACGGTAGGTCGAATTGACCATGGCTAATTTACTCCAGCATTTGGGCTGATCTTCCTGGCTGTCCTCGTTTCCATATACACGATTTGCGCAACCCGCCTTAACATCGTCTTTTTTTGTCTTTTTTTCACCCTCACCTTTTCTGTGATATGTCTTGCCGCGTCATACTGGTGTATGGCACAGGGGAAGGCTTTAGCTGGAGAACGGCTGACAAAGGTATTTGCATCCCGAAAGAGACCCGAGATTCCTTGATCTTTTGAACATCTACTAATGAAACGTCCTTCGCGATCAGGCCGGAGGTTCCTTGCTGTTCATCGTTTGTTTCCTAGCGTGGTACTATCTGGTTTACTTGATGCTAGATTGTGTCAATTTTCCTTTGAATGTCCCAGTGGGTGATCTGACCAGAGTATATGGTAGAGACAAGGCCAGGAACCGTGAGTGTGAGGGGATGGATTTTCCTTGAAAGAAAAGTGTGGATCTAAAAGATAGACACTTGTCTTTCTTAGAAAGGCCACTTGATGAAATAACCTTTTTTGGCTTGAAAGATACAGGGAAACGATCTTGACTGCAACTGCCTCATATTGGGAATGTTGAAACTAGCTGGAAACAAAGAAGGGAGAGAAGTGCTCTTCAACGTCATTCGCCGTTACTCAGAAAACCAAGGCCGGAAAATATATTATAGATTGATTCACAATATATGACTTGGTTTTTTCTGCTTTTATATTTTGTGTCACTATCTGACAATTCGAATTTAGTATCACGGGAAAAACTTGCGACTCACTAATACCGTTTCACTCTCTCACGTTCGCTCTTTCTACAAGATATGTGCTTTTCATTGTATCCATTTCGGAAATATACCAGGGGATTCAATACATGGTCGAATGTACTTCCCGATACGAAGTTGCCTGATGGAAGCAGCTGGTGGAAAATTGGAAACCAGAGATCTAGCAAATGAGACAGTTTTCCATGATTAAGGAATAGCGGTTATTGTGTGACAATTGAGCCATCTTCAGATCTCCGCAGGTTATGGTGACTGCAACAGAGGCACTATTGCAAAATCTCCGTCACGGATCCTGTAACTAAAATACCCAATGAGGCTCGGACGTGAAAGAACTTCCTAGACTTATTATATGACTTCAATTATTAGACCTATGAGAGGCTTAAAAGAATAAGCACATTTTGGCCCGAAACTGCTGCTACGAAGCCCTGATCGAGGTTTTCAGCCTGAGAATAATTAACAATATTAACCAGAAAGATTATAACAAAGATACCAAGATCTGCGATTTCTACTTGTTGGAAGCAGCAAAAAGAATGATATCTCAACACAAAACGTTGAATCCTATTTTCGTCAAAGCTCACTCCGGAATGGCTCCGTTTACATTTTACCGGTGATCATCAAAACCCCCATTAGGGTGAATGAGGACTTTAGTGTATCCGCTTTCCTTCTTGTCGAATTTTTCATAAGCCATCGCCGCATCAGCGAAATCGATTTCATGCGAGATGACGAAGCTGGGCTTGGCCTTGCCGGTAATTATGATGTCTCGCAAATACCGATTATAGGCCTTGACGTTACACTGGCCTGTTCTGAGAGACAAACCCTATGAGAAATCAGTAACTTGGATCTCTCAACCAAGGGCAATGACCGACCTTTTCAAATAGCTTGCCAAAACTAAGGCTGATTATACCATTTGTGGAATTGGCGTCAGATGATCCTGGATCGCTAAAGAAAGGTAGTTGATGTGAGACGGTGCTATCAAAATCCTCCTCGTGGCCTCTTGCCCATCTCCGGATTCTTACCTTGGGACATAGAGCCCAGGAACACCCATTCCTCCACAGGCTCGTGTGACACGTATCATGTTCTCGAGGACAATATTTGCTTTTTCGGAGGATCCATTGGAGTCGACAGCCTGGTACCCAACTGCATCGACTGACCGGTCGACCATACCATTATTATGACTGGTAATCTGATCAACTGCATCTCCCTTGGTAAAATCGATAGGGATACAGCCTATACTTTGGGCGACCTGAAGACGCTCTTCCACGCGATCTACAACATAGACTTGAGACGCCCCTCGCAAGACTGCCGAATAAGCGGCCATCAACCCAACGGGCCCTGCACCGAAAATAACAATGCTTTCGCCTGGTACAAATCCAGAAATTTCGACTCCGTGCCAGCCTAGTATTGTCAGTCCTTAAACAAGCTTTTGTGAAGCAGAAAACAAAAAGCGAAGCGGGGGGTGGGGGGTGGGATAGAGCTCACCGGTAGGGAAGATATCTGGATTTGTGTGTCAGCTATTGTTTCTCCCATAAATGTAAAATGGCCAAATTACCTGCAAGTAGTATGAAATCTGCTTCGTGTTCTTTACCCGGGGGTAACAGAAGGGCATTGAAGTCCGCGAAAGGGACACGAAGATACTGCGCTTGACCTTCATCATGACATTAGAGTTAAGACTCCTGGCCTCTGCGTCAATTTTTCTGAACTTACCTCCACGATAAGGGCCCATTGCAACGTATCCTACCTTCGAGGTCAGCCAAGTAGGTGATGTATTCAATTCTCATATTTTACCGTATGCGCCCCCGGCGAACCCGGGATTGACTCCAGTACAAAAGGCTGTTTTTCCTTCCTCGCAATTGCGACACCGTCCATCGGCAACGTTGAAAGGCATGACGACACGATCCCCTTTCTTCAGAAGCGTTACTCCTGAGCCCAACTCCTGCACGATTCCCATGTTCTCGTGGCCTTCTAATATTAGCGCTTCTTCTCTACTGCTATACCATCAGATCTTACCGAATGTGATTCCTGGTTTGGCAGCAGTTCTGCCCTCATACATACTGGAGGTGTTAGAATTGAGCAGCATTTCACAGCATCTTAGGTCAACTGGTACACTTACTGCAGATCTGAGCCGCAAATTGCCGCCTTAATCTCTATTAGCGATTTTGATCTTCTGAACCAATGCGATATAATAACTCACAGACGTAATTTTGACAATGATGTCATCTGGATGTTCCAGTCTTGGCTTTTCAACATCTTGGACTTGGACGTCGTAAGGCCCGACGTAGTTCAATGCCTTCATAGTAGTCACTGGCATCGTGTTGGAAGTAGTGGGGCCACCGTAGTAGAAATTAGATCTCGAAAATGAGATTTTAAACTTCAAACAAAGACATCGGGCGCCTTTTATTATATCAACTGAAGATAATCGAGGGGTAGAAGTCAATAGTCCAGGTGGATGGGCATTCTAACTGACCCCACATGGGTTTTACGACAAGAATGTATATCCGTGAGGGGTAGTCCTATCAAACCCACCCCCACCCCCACCCCCACACCAAGTAAGGTCATCGAGGCGCTGTGAAATGGGTACTAAAGCAAGAGCTGGGATTATCGGCTTAGAATACCGGAAGATTCTGGCCTAGGACAACTATTGAAGGAAGTTGGATATCGATTTCGGAAGTCGTAATGGAGTGATTCAGTCTAACATTCTATGCCTTCTTCCAACATCAGTATGTTGACGATCCTACGCTATCCATAGGTGCATTGGACCCGTCTTGTAGCATGTGTATTATGGCTATATTATTATAGATTTTTTGGGGTTATGACCTAGTATTATAGACACAGGTCTAACACTAATAAATAAATAGTGCGTATTTTGTACGGAAAGAACAGCTCTCACCGAAGCTCAATCGTCACCTTGCCGTGGAATGGCAAGAACTAGTTCTCTTCCAGAAGATCAGCATATGCCCTCAAGCTTGCACTGACAACATCGACGATTCCCCAGCATAGATTGCCACTGAAGCTTCTCGTCCAGACTCGAATGATTGAACAGCTCAGTTGCCTCATATTTCTCGGGTCTTTTATCAATTCCAGTCGATTTTCTATAGGGAGTTTGATTCCCAGGTCAGTCTCATCAAGCAATCGTGTGATCCATAGATACAGCTTTCTCTCGTGACTTGGCAATCTTACCAGTCCCATATTAGGGAGGGACCGAAGCCACGTTGTCAAAAGATGAGCGTATTCAAGAGCGCTGAGACAGTGCTGTACGCTCCAGTGAAATGAATAAGTTCTTGCTACGAAGCCAATTCCAAGCTGTATGGGAATCGACAAAGCATGAACTGCATGGAGAAGTGCTGTGATAAATCCAGGACCACGCACAACATCATTGGGTGCACCAGCCAGGGCCTGTGCGATTGCTGAAGGATCCCTCGTCACCAAAGCACGGTGGGGTCCAAGATCAATTTGCAGTCGCACATAGATTTGTCCCAGAAGTGCCGCTGAAGTGAATGCAATGGGACCGGAGGGATTGCGTGGGTCGGTGCTGGACTCCGGTGTCTGCTTCCAATAGGACTTCCATGTCCGAAGCACGGCATCCATTCCGGTTATGTGATGCCGATGAGTCCCCTGCTCCAGTGGAAGCCGACATAACTGACGAGCAAAGAAAAGTTGCTGGGACAAGGCATGTAAGAGAATATGATTTCCAAAAGCAGTGCAAGCCATTTCACCACCGGCTGAGCTTTCTTTCGCCTTAAAGAGCAAAGAAATCGATTCTTGGAAACATGAATGCTTTCTGTTTTGGGCCTTTTCGTACACCAGTCCCCACGCACTTGCACTTTGCGCTGTCCAGACTTCGGCTGAGCAGGGCATATTGAGCCCCAGATCAGAATTGAGAATCAACGGGGGTGTGTTATGCATAAGGGAGTGGAGGTTGAGAAAACAGAAAACGACGAATTTCGTTCGCCTGTTAGATTCTTCTTTGGCCCAACGACACCAGTCAACATCATTTGTGCGATCGGTGATTTCGAAGGCCGGTTTTTCCCCAAGCCCATGGACACGGACGAGCGATGCAAGATTACCTTGCAGAGTCATCGATTCTTGTGCCGCCCTAGCATCGCCTCCCCAGGTTGCATGGATGACCAGCAGTAGAATTGCCTGCATAGCCTCCATCAGCTCGGCAGACTCTTGCTCAGAGCGATCGGGAGAATGCGACCAAAATCCGGCTACCCCACGGCAAGTGGAAAGCAACGAGCTCGATAGAAGGTTTGGTGACGTACCATAACTTCTTTGTCTCAGGATCTCCAAGATTATTGCTTGTGCTGCACAAAACAAAGTCAACCCTTCTTCGCCCTCAAAGCGGTACTGTGCCCCACAGGCAGCAATGGCAAGCACAAGCGCTGGATTGCAACTTCCAATCCGCAGCGTCGGGGTATGAATAAAGGGAAGGTGCTCGTTGAGGCCATCGATAAAACCATGAAAAAACCGAGATAATTTGAACTTTGAAGGGGCAGAGAAATCTCCAGGCAAAACGCACTGGAAATAGTTCAGCCCTTTTAGAAAAGACCGATAATCAGCCTCGCGGATATTCCGAGTGAGCTGAATTCCGATGGCCCCACCTGACCTTTGGGATCTGTCTTCTTGCTCGCCCGATTCTGGCTGCAAGGACGGTAGACGGGACCCGAAATTAGATAAGAAGTTCTCTTCGGGGACATGTCCGTGTGATGAATGATCCTCTACATCATCTGTAGTGGTTGTGTCATTTCGAAATTCCGTTTGTAACGCAGCCACAGGGTCAAATGGCAAAATAAATTGATCAATTGATTGAAGTCCATCGGGTGCCCACCCTTCTGAAAAGCCGATACTTTCAATGAAATCGGCAAAATTTTGCATTGGATCTTCGATTGGTTTCATTATTGGACAAGGTATCGACTCCTAGACATACTCATAATCAGCATGTTTTGTCACTCTTCTGATATATTTTCAGAGCCTGACCTCATCAAAAGAATCGAGCCTTTGTACGTTGGAATTTGCTTCAGTAGGATGCTCCCAATCCCTTTCACGTATTTGGAGTGATTGCTCCACCCAAGGCAACATGTTTTGGCTGTGAATAGCAGCTATTGAGTGCTCAGCTGGAATTGGCATAACATCAAGTGGGGTTTGTCTTCGATCCGCCAGCCCCTCATTTTGTCCATGTACAAGAAGAGGTGGTGGTGGGTGTACAAGTCTTTTATGGCGGATCATCAGGTCACTAAACACAATTAGAACCTGCTTGGAAGGGCAATAGGCTTAATTGAACGAACTTTCTGCCAAACGATTTCGAACATATGTCACATGAGAACGGCTTGTCATTGGTGTCTGTGGTGTGAGTGTCAGCAATGATTCAACCTGTGTTGGCGAAGTGAACGGCATACGACTTCTGACGTGCCGCTGCAGGTGTTCGGCGCGAGAAAAAGAACGCTGACAATATGGGCACAGGGGCGGCTTAGCACGGCCCTTCTTGATTCTCTTGGGATCTTTTTGGCCCGGCATGACGGTGGATTCCATGATATGAAGACCGCGGCTGAGCCAGAAGGGTAGGGTCCGAGTCTCAGGAAACGTAGTTATGAGGGGCAGTGGGGACAATTTCGGGAGATAATCGGTAAGGGCTGCCCAGGTGGTGACCCCGCATTGACCGCCTCCCGAGGTTGGTTCGGGGCCTTGAGAATCGTAGCACGCCAACTGAACGTCTGCTCCACGAAGAGACAGGGGTCAGAGGAACAAAAAGTCGCGACTATCCGTAGGAAAGATGTAAGAACTTGATATCACCTGCCACAGGGCTTCGAACAAGATATTGTTCGCGAATAATAAATGGCGTTACTAGCAACGACTGGATGGAGACGAACAGTGCATAGAACATTGACACATATTTCATCCCCGGTGGAAATCGAGCATTTATTCCCGGTCGGATCAAATACTGTTTCAAGTTCAGTGGGCCAAGTTACGCAGGACACTGCCTGATCATCCAGCCTGGCTGGTATCCACCTAGCGTGTAACTCGCTTTGGAGAGGAGACATCGATACTGCCATCGCCAGTGGAACTAATGTTCTGACTAACCCGGATTTCACTTCTGGACTTGGCCGGGGTCACTTCCTTTCGCGAACTAGAAATTGCAAAACATTTGACGATGACGCCGATGGAAATTGCCGTGGCGAGGGTATTGGAATAGTCATCATTAAGCGCCTTGACGACGCCATCGCCGACAAGGACCCTATTCTCGGTGTCATCCTCAGCGCTTCCACAAACCCAGTCGGAGTCTATTACCCGGCCTCACTCCGGGGCCCAGCGCGCAATCTTCAAGAAAATCTTGAACCAAGCCGCTGTGGATCCATATAGCGTTAGCTATGTAGAAATGCATGGAGCTTAACTCACCTCAACCTGCATTCATGAAACAATACTTACTATGATACAGAGGTACTCTAGCGGGTGATGCCGGTGGAATGATCAGTGTCTTGGATACTTCCGCCCCGACGCTCTCGGAGGTCCCCAAGGGCCGGACGGAGGAGCAAGCTCTCTATTTGGGCTCAGCAAAGGCAAACATCGGCCACGGTGGGGCGTCCTCCGGTGTCTCGGCCCTGATAAAAGTGCGTCTGATGATACAGAAGATCATGATTGTCCCTCACTGTAGGATCAAGACCAAAACCAATTCCAAGTTCCTGACTGATCTAGGAGAGCGAAATATCAATATCGCTCTGAAGCCAACGGTGTGGGAGAGAAGTACCGACCCTTCCAGACCTCGCCGCGTCTTCGTGAACAACTTCAGCGCGGCTGTTGGCAACTCAGTACTCTTGATTGAAGACGCACCAGTCCAGAAGTAGCTGCCCCTTATTCATATTGATCCCAAAACTGTGTATCTTATCGCTGTGTCGCCTAAAGCTGGAAATTCTCTCTAGGGCAATCTGCGCTCTCTCTTTGGTTACTTGAGGTAGAACCCTGAAGTCTCTTTGGTAAGCTTTCATACACTACTACAACCCGTCGGATATATTATAAACATTGTTTTATACCTACTAGCTCAAATATAACTGATATCTATACCCAGATCGACAATATACTATAGGATACTCTGGGAATAACCCGGCTAAAGAATGCCCCGAAGGTAGTATTCACCTTAAGTGGCCAAAGGAATATTCATGCATTGGTCGTACACTTAGTACTATCATTAAAGGGAAATGTATAATATCAAGTAGGCCGGGTAAAGTTTTATTAGTATTGTATTGTCCCACTAGCGGCGATTCTAGGATTCTGCACGGCAGAAATCGCATTCCCCAGTTTGGCCCATTTCGGCTGCCGTACTCACCCCAAGTTACTCCGTACAACATAAAATTTTAGAAATTAAGCTTAATGTGACGATCTGCCGACTTATGCCGACTGACTGGTGCACCTGCCCAACCTTGAACCGCGACCTCGCACTTAACATTGCGGTCGTTCCTTTCTAAACCGTAAATGAGGTCGGAGTTTGCATGGCTTATGGCAAGGTCGCTAGGAAGAGCACAAAACACAGTCGAGGAGATCGTAGATTTTCTCTTTCCCTCCTTTATACTTATAATTTGGAATTGATTGTACTCTTTTCTTCTGGAAAGAACTAGCATGTAACACTTACGGAGACACAAGGACACTTGATCTTGATATATTGTCAGAATCTGGGATTAATACCAGAATGAATACCGGCATTTTTCATCATAGATACAGATGGGTCACGTGGTTGACCAGGCTAGTCTCTCGTTATCGGCAGGGCAGTCTTCCTCTCCACTCTAGCTTCTTGTTTCGTCACCGGCAACAATACCGTCTAATTGCTCGCGCTGCATGATGGAATCTGCGCCTCTGGCGTACGTGCCGGTGTCAGAGCGAAGCCTCTCCCGTATTGCTCCTCAAATTCGCGAGTCATCTCACCTTCTACCATACCGCCTTTGTCTAGAGCGGAACCCTCTTTTGACATGGGTACTTCGTCCCTCGGCCGACTGGAATGAATAGCCGTAAGGTCTCGTGACAACTGCTGGATTGATTCGTTGCTCATATAGCCTCCCACTTGCCTGCTTCTCCAACCAAGGCCCCGGTTCTTTCCGTGAAGAATTTGACCATTTGCGGAGACCATAAATTGGAGAGCATCTCCAGTGCCGTGATTTTCGATGATACTGACGTTCTCCTTTAAGTGATCATCCGCCCGTGAGCAAATTTCGAGGCACTGCCGAGTAGTTTCCCACTCGTCGCGCAACCTTGATAGATCTTGAGCATCCTCGTCAGAGGATATTGCTGTCCTTGATTTTGCGACTAGTCGATCCATAATAGCTCGCATATGCTTTTCCAACTTGTTTGCCGTCATAGCCAAGCTATTTTTGCATTCTTGGAGACCTTCATTTGTGACCGTTGCCGGTGACGCTTCAGATCCGGCTGACCCCAGAGATGGACCCGCATCGTCGGACATCAGTTGAATTTGATCGATATGGTTCGACAGCTGAGCGCAAATCTGAAGACACTTCTCCGTACTCAAGCGCTCCTCTCTTAACGAATGTAATTCAGCCGCATCAGGCCCAGACTGAGTCACATCGTTCTTAGCCAGCTCTTCCAACTTCCTATCAATACTCTCAAGCCGAGCTCCCAGATCATCTTTCGCATCTTGGATGAGGCTCTCGTAGTCCCCAATATTTTCAACAGCACCAGCGGATAAGCGCCTCGTAAGAATTAGCTACTTGCGTAAATGGAAGCTCAGAAATGAGGGGGGCGACGCTGTAATAGCTCAAGGTGACACTCACAGGTTTACATCGGTTAAGGCAATATTGATAGTGGCTTTATATCCCGCCAGCAAGTCGCGGAAATCGACAATGTTGTTACCCATGTATGTCAGCCTGGCCCAGTCCCGGAAGCTCGTGCCGGTACTGTCTGATCGCGATGCGCATTTAAGAATCTCCTGCTGGAACTCTTGGCAAACATTACCGCATCGCAATAGTGGCAGGTCTAGGCACGAGAGATCGACACTAAAGTTCGATTTCACCAGGTCGACGAGGGGAGCCAGCACAGCACTGAGGGCTTCCAGCTCGGCGAGAAGGTCGCGCACCCGCTTTGGATGCGATCGGAAGCCGTTCACTGTTTCATAGAGTGAGACACTACAACGAAAGGCAAATGTCGCCAAAGCAAGGACCCCGGAGGCCAGCCCGATCGCTTCAGCCATATTGGAATGAAGGACGTAGAGAAGTTTTCAGGGGTTTTCAAAGCTTAGGTGGCACACTTATACTTATATATAGAAATGAGCACAATGTAGCGTCAAGTTGTAGGCGCCAGGTTTATCTTGCAATCGTTGCTCTGAGGTGAGGGGGCGGGGCAGCGGCTACTCGAACAGTGAGGCGGGCGAAGCAGAATTACGTAATAGTGACTAGGTGCCTTCCATGACTAGTTACACGTTAACTAGTTACTCGGTTGTCCAAAATTAGATTATGGATTCGGCCCATGCAGCTCCGTAACCTGTTTCCACAAGACCTCCATGACACGTCACCAAGTATGCCACGGTGTCTCGGGGTTTCATTGGATTTAAAGGACTCGCTCTGTGACTCGGACTGCCGGCTGTCCTTCCTAGACAGGCGTTAAATGCTGTGAAGCTAGTCCTCATGTAAATATAAAGAAATAAGGCACGGCCAGCTCTCAGTCTGGCGATGTGGGTCCAGGGTCGGAAAGCTTGCCTCAGCCAAAAGATTTAGGCCCGTTGACTTCGGGCCAAGTACCCATAGTAATCCACATAACACACAACTTTATTCCCAGATCAAGATAATCGAAGTTTATCAAGAAACTCAATAAGATCGATTGTGAACAGCCTCTTTTCTGTGATTCGGTCGATGTGAGACGTGGGAAAATACAGGATATAGTTAGGGTTACCTCCCATTAAACTTGTACAGTGGCTACTTTCCGCCTGCTGCACTCAGGAGGGATTCGCCTTTCATATATATTCCTGAGACTCTGTCACAGCTTAGTCATAGTTAGCTAGTTAGCACCCCCAACAAGGGGTTCATAATATCATCATCTTCCCCACCAAGCTTACTTGCCACATTTATGGTAGCAAGTTTGACCACCTCAGGGGTTCCCCTGTGTGCCGAGGTCAGAGGTCACCAAGCCTAGCACAATCGGCGGTCGACCACGCTGTCGATCACAGTGCCAAGCCGCTACAGTAAGGCTGTCGATCACAGTGCTGAGCCGCTACTATAACAATCCATAGACAAGCGTACTCGTCGGGCCACCCAGCTTATAATCCAGTTCGACAATTATCGCCAGGAGGCACGCCCCTAGTCAGGTGATTTCGACGTAGATATACTTTCCCGCGTTATCATCATCCTGACCCCTTTACCTACCGGGCCCGCCAATCCCTCAACCTCGCTATCCACTTCCATTATCCTTCTATCTTTAGAGGATCTATTTCTACCTTCCTAGCCTATCGATAGGTCTATACTCAATAAGGCTGTTAAGGATTTCCTCTATCTAATATCTTACCTTACCGTTCTAAGTCCTATAACCCCTCTATCAAGTGAGCCTGCGTATCTGCTTAGGAGACCCCGACCTAAGCGAACTATAAGTAAGCCTCCTAGTTTACCGGCTTCTATATCTTAATCTTTAATATCTATATCGGACTAACCGACTGCCTAACCTACTGCTATAATATACCTTTCTATACCCTAGTCTTTAACGCCTATTTTAGACTAACCGACTGCCTAAGCTACTACTATTATATACTATATATATAGGCCCGCTACTATATAATAGCAGCCTCGTTTTAGTCCCTAGTTAAATAGTTATAATAGTAAGTTTTTCTAAACTAAGGACGAAAATTCTGTACTATAGGCTAAGGACAGCTATATAGACCTTCTATAGGATAACTAAGTGGAAGTCTAGTCTTTAGAAGACTAATAAGCTAAAGTTAACTAAGTAGAAGTCTAGTCTCCGGAAGACTAATAAGCTAAAGTCGACTAAGTGGAAGTCTAATCTCTAGATAACTAATAAGTAGAAGATAACTAAGTAGAAGTCTAATCTCTAGGAACTAAATAAGCTAAAGATAACTAAGTAGATCTCTACTCTTATAAGGCTAGTATTAAGTACCTAACCCTAGAATAACCCTTAGTATAGTTAAGAGTACGATTAACTTCACATTTTTATAATAGTAAGGCTAGCCCTATAGTAGGTCTATTAAGCCTACTATAAGAAGCTAAACTCTCTAATCTCCTATAAAAAATAGTAAATAATAGAGGTCTAGGTCCTAGCTATAATAATAGAAATTAGGGTCCTGGCTATATAGGCGATATATTAACTTTAGCTACTTTCCTACTATTACCTAGTTTTAATATAGTATAGTTTATAGAGTTTATCGAGAAAGCTATATAGATAAGCCTTTAGAATAATACTAATACTCTTTATAGGCCTTAAGGTAACTAAGGTCCCTAGGGTAAGTAAGGTTCTTTAGGCTAATTAGCTACTACTAATATCTTATAGAAAGTATCTAAAATTAGTGTTTTTAATCCTTTAAAGAGTTTTAAGGATAGAATAGATATAGTTTAAAATCTTTATATCTACTCTAATATATATATATTTATAGATTATATAATAGACCTAATACTCCTAAAGTTAGAAGCTATTATCTAAGCGAATATCTATAGCTACCTATAAGGTAATATACTCTAATAGTATTTATAGGAACTAACTATAGATAAAAAATGCCTTATAAACTAGGTTTTACTCTAAGATAGATAGTTTTCTATAATATTATAGTATTTTAGACCTAATTATACTAAGGCCCTTCTCTAGCTTAATAAGTATATATATAAATAGGATAATATATACTAAGGCTATACCCTAAGAGAATATATATAGGGTATATTATACCTATATAAAGCTATAGGTATAATAGATATTCTTAACTAGTTATTATAAATTTACTAGAACCTAGAGCCTATACTTTATTATAATATCCTAGAGCTAACTAAGACTACCTTATTAGTTACTTTTATAAATAGCCTTAACTACTACTATTAAGACTAGAAAGATATAGTAATTAAGCGCTAGAGTTAGTTAACTACTAGGTTTAGAAATAATAGGCTATAATAGGATAATTTAGCCCTATATTACCGATAAGACTAGCGCTAAGGCTACCCTTAGTGCCTATATAGCTATAACCGCTTATTAGCCTAAGACTATTAAGGTCTACCTTAAAGCTAGGCTAGATATAGATAATAATAGGCTCTAGTACCTTATAGCTAGGCTTAGTAGACTCCTTAGCGCCTATATTAAGCTATAGGAACCTAATATTAGTCCTATTAGTATTAGCCCTAGAACCTAGTATAAAGTAACTAAGGCCTCTAAACCTTTTAGAGATAATAATATTTATAGTAGGGAGTTTAAGCTTAGTAGACCTAGAATAATCCTAGCTACTAATAGTCTAGCTATAATAGCTCTAGGAACTCCTAGTATACTATTTAGAATAAACCTTAGTAGATATATTATATAGATATAGATATTAACTATTATTAGTTAAATAACTACTTTTAAGCTAATAATAATAGCCTAAAGGAATATTAGGATAATATCCTAGTTAATAATAATAATTAATAGGATTTTAAAGATAACTTTTATACTAATAAGGACCTATATAGTATAAATTTCGCTAACCTTATTAGCCTATAGGATAATAACTACTAATCTAGTTTTTAAGCCTAGGTTAATCTACTAGTATAGGCCTAGTTATATATAGTCGATAGTAAGTACTTAGTTACTTATTTATCCTATTTATAGGTTTTTAAGTTAAATACTAAGCTATATTAGTATCTTAATAGCTATAAGCCTTAAACTACTACTACTATACTAGCTAAAGCTATCGCTAATTTCGTAAATCCTACTTATTATATTATCTACTTAGTTAGATAGACCGACTATATCCCTAGCTATATATTTCGATCCTAATAATATATAATAGCTATAGTTAGACTTAGAAGCCCTAATAAGCTAAATACTTATTACCTTAACTCTAGATATATTATAACTTTAATCGATTTAAAGCTAGTAGTATTACTCTAATACCCCTAGTACCCTATTAGCCTAATTCCTATAAGTAGAATCAGTTCCTAATACCTATCTAATTACTATATTATTATTTAAGTTTACTTCCTAAATAAAGATATAGCTATAGAGCTATAAATTAAGGCCTATATTATCGAAGACCTCTATACCTAGCTTCTTATTAATATAGATATTCTAGGACTAGAGGGGTTTATACTTAATTTCCTATATTCCTAAATAATTATTAAGTCCTATAAAAACCTGACTTTTCCTATTACCCTTTATATAAAACTATACTATATAAGTAAAAGACTAGTCTATATTTCTTCTAAAATCGAGGTCCCCCTATACTAGGTAGTATAGATCCCTATTATTATAAAGTTGATTTTACTAAAGGATTATAACTTTATTTTTAAGCTAGGTAATAGTAAGTTTAAGATTCTAGTATAGATAGTTAATATTGGTTTTATATATATATATACTATTAATAATACTAACTAAATATAAGTTATTAGGAAGAAGGATTATATAGGCTAACTTTTAGAGCTAGACTTTATATCTACCTACTAGGTTTCTACTAAGGTAATACCTCTAGTATTATAGCCCTAAGTAATTAAGTCCTACCCCCTATTAATTAATTAAGATATTTATAACTCTATTACTATCTACCTAACTACTATTAATAACTTACCCTAGCTACTAGATAAACTTCCTAATAGACTTCCTAATACTATTTTTATACTAGATATATAGAAAGTCCTATTAATATCTATAGCCTATACTTAGCTAAGATATCTACTAGAAATAGTACTACCTAATAGTATTATAATCTATAGGATACCTAAAATAGCTGTAATACTCTATAATATTTATAAGTAATATAATATTTAGTCTAACCCTAGTATTATAGATATCCTATAAGATAAATAGATAAGATTCCTAATAGTCCCTAGTTTAAAGCTATAATATTTATAAGTCTATAGATAGGTAAGAGAAAGCTAATAAATTATTAATAATATATTTAATACTCTATATACTTAAGGAAAGATATTATTTACTAAATACTAAGCCTAAGATATAAACCCTATTTTTATTATATAGAAATAGGTTATTTATATAGATAATAAGGGTAACGCTAAG